TTTTCATGAATTGAATGTGTCCTTGCTGAATAACAGTACAATTTACTGTATATACATATATAATCTGAAACTTTTCCACAAAAATATGAATCATGTGACATTGAAGACTGGAGTAATGATGCTGAAAATATTTTAAATGGTAATAATATTTCACAATATTATTGTTTTTACTGCAGTGCGTTCAACTGGTGAGCAAAGAGACTTATTTCAAAAACATGTTTAATAGTTCCTCCAAACTTGTGTCCGGTAGTGTAGAGTCTGTGCTTCTGTTTAACCTGAATGTGATGTTGTCCACAGGGCTTTTGTTTTTCTGAGCCAGAATAACTACGCAGACGCACACGAGTGTTTCTCCAGTGTTTTGAAGCTTGACCCCAAGAACCCAGTGGTAAGTGCTCGTTCTCTTTCCAGAACACTGATGAACAAGTGATGCTTAAAGTGAATGAAACGGGTGTTGTGTTCGCCGATTCTTCCCTATCGTGCCATATATCCGAGTGAAACGCTTCTGGAACGAGAACAAATGTGGGCGGGGCTTGATTTTGTCTGTGGGGAATTGATCGGATGGTTGTGGTTTGCTATTGGCTGATCTCATGTGAGTGACAAGTTATAGCCCCGCCCTCGTCATCAGAGAAGAGAGGCTGCAAGAGGGAGGGGAAGATATTCTGATTCAAGATTACGAGACCCATTAATTGAAAGTGATGTGCACAGATAACACGGAAGAGGATTAGGGCTAAGCAATAATAAAAAAATAAAAAGTCGAAATACAATCTTGAGAATAAACTCATTAAAAATCAAGAATAAAGTCGTGTTTCGAGAAAAAAAATCACTACATTTCGAGAAAAGACTCGAAATACAATCTTGAGAATAAACTCATTATAATGTCCAGAATAAAGTTGTTTCGAGAAAAAAAAACTGTTAAATTTAGAGAAAAAAAAATACTCGAAATACAATAAAGTCGTGTTTATTCTCGATATTTAATTAGTTTATTTTGACTTTTTCTTAAAAAGTCTTTTTCTTAAAACACAACAACATTATTCTTGAATTTTAAAGAGTTTTTTTTCTCGATAACACGACTTTATTTTCGAAATTTAATGAGTTCATTCTCAAGATTGTATTTCGATTTTATTTTCTTGAAATTTTAAGAGTTTTTTTTCTCGAAACACGACTTTATTCTCTAAATTTTATTAGTTTATTCTCACGATTATTTTGACTTTCTTCTCTGAATTTTACGAGTTTTTTTTCTTGAAACGACTTTATTCTCGAAATTTAACAAGTTTTTTTTCTTAAAACACAACAACTTTATTCTCGAAATTTAATGAATTTATTCTCACGATTATTCTGACTTTTTTCTCGAAATTTTTTTTCTTGAAACACAATGATTTTATTCTCGAAATTGAACGAGTTTTTTTCTTGAAACACAACGACTATTCTCGAAATTTTATGAGTTTATTATCACGATTATTTCGACTTTTTTGTCTGAATTTGATGAGTTTTTTTCTTGAAACAACGACTTTATTCTCAAAATTGAACGAGTTTTTTTCTTGAAACACGACTTTATTCTCGAAATTTTATTAGATTATTCTCACGATTATTTGGACTTTTTTCTAAGAATTGAATAAGTTTTTTTTTCTTGAAACACCGACTTTATTCTTGAAATTTAACAAGTTGTTTTTATTGAAACACAACGACTTTATTCTCTAAATTTAATGAGTTTATTATCACGATTATTTCGACTTGTTTCTCAGAATTTGACGAGTTTTTTCATGAAACACATCGACTTTATTCTCGAAATTTAACGAGTTTTTGGTAACACTTTACAATAAGGTTCATAAGTTAACTACATTAGTTAACATTAACTAAGAATGAACAATACCTCTACAGCATTTGTTAATCTTTTTTAATGCTAATTTCAACATTTACTAATACTTTATTAAAATCTTGTTAACATTAGTTAATGCACTGTGAACTAACAAGAACAAACAATGAACTGGATTTGTATTAACTAACGTTAACAAAGATTAACAAAAACAGTAACAAATGTATTGCTCATGGTTAGTTCATGTTAGTTAATGCATTAACTAATGTTTAATAAATTAACATTATTATAAAGTGTTACCGAGTTTTTTTCTTGAAACACAACGACTTTATTCTCGAAATTTTATTAGTTTATTCTCAAGATTATTTCGACTTTTTTCTCTAAATTTAACAAGTATTTTTCTTGAAACACATTGACTTTATTCTCAAAATTTAACAATTTTTTTCTTTAAACACAACGACTTTATTCTCGAAATTTAATAAGTTTATTCTTACGATTATTTCGACTATTTTCTCTAAATTTAAAAAGTATTTTTCTCGAAACACGACGACTTTATTATCAAAATTTAATGATTTTATTCTCACGATTATTTCAACTTTCTTCTCGAAATTTAACACATTTTTTTCTTGAAACACGACTTTATTCCCGAAATTTAATGAGTTTATTCTTACGATTATTTAGACTTTTTTCTCTAAATTTAACGAGTATTTTTCTCGAAACACAACGACTTTATTCTCAAAATTTAATGAGTTTATTCTCACGATTATTTTCTCTAAATTTAACAAGTATTTTTCTCGAAACACGACGACTTTATTATCAAAATTTAATGATTTTATTCTCACGATTATTTCAACTTTCTTCTCGAAATTTAACAATTTTTTTTCTTGAAACACGACTTTATTCCCGAAATGTAATGACTTTATTCTTACGATTATTTTCTCTAAATTTAACAAGTATTTTTCTCGAAACACGACGACTTTATTATCAAAATTTAATGATTTTATTCTCACGATTATTTCAACTTTCTTCTCGAAATTTAACAATTTTTTTTCTTGAAACACGACTTTATTCCCGAAATTTAATGAGTTTATTCTTACGATTATTTTCTCTAAATTTAACAAGTATTTTTCTCGAAACACGACGACTTTATTATCAAAATTTAATGATTTTATTCTCACGATTATTTCAACTTTCTTCTCGAAATTTAACAAATTTTTTTCTTGAAACACGACTTTATTCCCGAAATTTAATGAGTTTATTCTTACGATTATTTCGACTTTTTTCTCTAAATTTAACGAGTATTTTTCTCGAAACACAACGACTTTATTCTCAAAATTTAATGAGTTTATTCTCAACACTGTATTTCAAGTTTAATTTCGCATTATACTGACTTTTATCTCAAGATGGTTTTATTTTTGCTTGGCCCTAATCCCCATCCGTAGATAAATCATACAATAATATTTAATTAAAAAAAAACAAGAACTGTCACTATTGATCTCGTGGGGACTTTACCACTAGAAAAACAGCATGTGCCAGTTCTAAGAGCGTCAACTTTTTCCCCTCAGGCGAACAACAACGCGGCGGTGTGTCTCCTGTACCTGGGCCGGCTGAAGGAGTCCCTGGGCCAGCTGGAGAGCCTGGTGCACAAGGACCCTGCGCTGTACCTGCACGAGAGCGTCCTGTTCAACCTCACCACCATGTACGAGCTGGAGTCGTCCCGCAGCACGCAGAAGAAGCAGGCTCTGCTGGAGGCCACGGCCTGTAGAGAAGGAGACAGCTTCAACATCCAGTGCCTCAAGCTGGTGTGAGACCCGCGGGACCAAACCCAAGCCAGCCAGAATAGTGTGCCGCATTTAAAGCTTTTACGAGTCTTACAGACAGGACCAAAGTTAACTTGAGATGTCGATATTTGCTCCGCACAGGACAGAAAAAAGGGTTACACACTTTTCCCCCTGTTTCAGGAATCCAGAGAAATGCTTTTAAGCACATTAAATGATTGTTTTCAAAGAGTGTAAACTACTTAAAACTGTACTGTGTATTTCTGAGAATGAGAAAATTAAATCTTGTGAATAAATGTATGAAAACTTGCTCTGATGTTGAGATGTGCTTTATAAATAACACTGATTTTACAGTCGGGACGAGACACTACTGACAACAATACATAAAAACAAATCATGCATTGGTATGGTTTGAGCTTTTAGGCTATTTGCAAGTGGAAATATTATTTGTTCTCATTCACTGAACCGCAAATCTCCACTTTACTGTACATACACCAAACTTTACATTCCTATCGATATATTCTGAAGGTTTGTTCATACATCATTCACCTGATTTATACATCATTTTATTCCTCTTTTTTTAATTAAACTACATTTTTTAATCTGGCTTTATCCGATGTTCCGATTTCTGTTATGAATATGTATGCAAATGAGTGGACATTTAATTAGATAATGAAAGAAAACATGCAAAACAAAGGATTTTTGCTACTCTTAATGTAATCAATCAACTGATGAAGTTACGTTTGTACCCCATCAAATCAATGAATGTTGTCGAACTCTGATGTAGTTTATATAATTCATAATGAAATCTGGGTGAAAAGTTTTTAGATCAGTAAATGTTCAAGTAACCTCTATACACCCCAATAATATATTGTCAACATGCCAGACATGAAATATTGTTGTCAATTAAAAATAGAACAATTAACAATATTTTACATCTCTTTAATACGGAGGCGTATTGCATTCACTTGTTTTTCTGAATTAACGAGTTAATTTTTCATGAGAAAAAAAATTTGCTCTGTTTTTCTGAATTAATGAGTTAATTTTTCATGAGAAAAAAAATTTTGCTCTGTTTTTCTGAATTAATGAGTTAATTTTTCATTAGAAAATTTATTTTTGCTGTTTTTCTGAATTAACTCATTAATTCAGAAAAACAGAGCAAAAAAAAATTCCATTAAAAATTAATTCAGAAAAACAGAGCAAAATTTTTTTTCTCATGAAAAATTAACTCGTTAATTCAGAAAAACAGAGTAGATTTTTTTTCTTCAAGTGAATGCAATACGCCTCCGTACTTTTAAAATATTTTTTAGCATAATATTTCTATATTGATACGAATTTACTGTTAAGATATGAATAACAAACGAAACATGCAAACATGTAAAAATAATCATACAGACCACACATTCTCATATAACCAACATCAATAATTATTCCGTTTATTTACTTAATATAATGTTGTCTTCAGTATAATTACTTTGTTCTGTGCAGTATTTTTTGCATATTCAGTATTACTATATAATAATTTGTTCAAATATATTTTATGACGCGAATCATGTTTCTATCCACGTATTTTTAAGCACATTTTGGGATGTTGCATAAAACACTGGATGAAAACAAGAATAAGCAGCAAATTTTTTTGCAACCATTTTTCTTAGAGATATTTTGCGCTAGTTTATCGGGAAGTGATGATTTTGCGCATTGAAAGTTAAAAGTTTGCATAAGTTGAACTTTGGATGGAAACATGAAACCACAACAGTTAGGCCTAGTAATATGCTAGTTCTTCCCCACATCTTTTAATAGAAAGTAATGAATTAATTCTACAAAACGTGAGTTTTAAACTCTACGATTTATCGTCATAACTATAAAAATACTAAATATACTGCATTATGTGTTTATCATCATCAGCAATGACACATAAGCGACTGTCAAGAGTGTTTGTTAAAGGCACTACAGAGTTTCATTCTGATGAAGATCCCATCAGCAGTCCTTCGTTAACTCTAAACCAATCAGATGTGGCGTCTCAGGGAGGTCTCAGAAGCATCTCAGGGAGCTGACGTAGTCCTTACGGATGTCAAAGTCATCCGCCGGACGGTTATAAGCCTTCCAGACCGGCTCCCCGACGAACAGACGCATGGCTTTAGTGTAGTCCTGAGGAGAGAAACGTTGTGTCTGATCACAGCGTCTGCTAAATCAAATACTTCAGAGGATCATGAAGACACGTACGGTTTCGTCAACGGTGAACCTGTGGTAGATTCCCGCCGGTAGTGTGATGAGGTCACCTTTACACACGGCCAATCGGATCCAGCGGTCGTCTTTGTCCCTCACGTCAAAGTAACACGACCCTTCCAGAATATAGCGGATCTCGTCGTCAAGATGAAGGTGTTCTTCGTAGAACATTTTCAGCTGGAAGACGGGAATCAGATTTACTGATGCTGAAAACTATTCTAATTTTATCCCAAATCAATGAAGATTTGCATAACTTACTTTGTTCCCATAATCAGGAAGTTTATCCGGGTGAATAGTTATGATATCCATATAAGAAAATCCTCTTTCCTCACGGATCTTCTGCAGTTCTGGGTCATTCTCAAAAATATCTGCATTTAACTGAAAAGAAGAAGAAGAAGAGCAGAACTATTAAAACTGTTAGTATGTTTGACATACTATTATAGATATTGTTAATATTTTGATTTAGCATTTTTTTTAAACTTTCTATTTTCACTTTAGTATTTTTTGTACTACAGTTATTTTAGTACTTCATCTTCTCAAACTAAACAAAAATTAGAAATGTTGCCTTGAAAACTAGCTGAAATAAAATTTAATATATAAATTAAATACGTTTGTTTGTGTGTGTGTGTGTGTGTGTGTGTGTGTATATATATATTGTAATTTTGTAATATTTTAATATTTTGTCAAATTAAAAAAAAAGAGTATCAGGGTATTTGTATGCTAGTACCAAGACTTTTATTGTAAAAATGTTAGAGCAGTAAGTAAAACGAAAGTATGTTAAATATAATATTCATCAAAACAATAAAAGATTCTAAAAAGCGTCGTATGTAGGCTACTTGAATGCATTACTGAATAAAGTCTAGAATTTTCTTAGTAAAAGTGGATCATGTCAGTTATCGCTGACGTTTTATTTCAGAAATGTTCTTGTACTGCAACATTCATGGACAATGAATAAATGACAAGTAAAATAAATTACTAAATGGTTCTGTTCTGCATTCGTCAGTTTCTGCTGATATCACGTGATATGTGTGAGTGATTCGTGACCGAACCTTCCAGTAATACACGCCGATGTCCTGGAGCTGCTCGCGGGTCACGGGCTGGTTCGGGCTCAGTCTGTGAGGGAGTCTCTGGTCCTCACTGGACTCATCCATGTACCATGCCTCCATCCCACTCATGATCCAGTTTACCGTTTACTCCACATGCGGGAAGCCCAGAAAGCACTGACACAATTTCTGGTTTTCAAAATAAAAGTTATTTATAATAATAATAATAATAATAATAATAAAACAAATAAATAAATATGTATAATAATACATATATTGCGTGTGATTTTGTGTATATGTTCCTTTATATTTTAGTTACAAGCTATATCAGTGATTATTACCAACCAGGGTACCAGATATTCCAGCTTCAAAAATTCCAGCTTTGTTAAAAAAAACATTAAATAAATAAAATAATAATAGTCAAAATTCTCCAAAGGTTTCAAACGTACTTTTTTTCAGAATTGTGTCATAGAAATTCGCAATTCTAAGAAATAAAGTCAGAAATCGGAATTAAAAAAAAGCATAACTCGCGCATTTTTTCACAATTCACAATTGTAAGTTTATATCTCTAAACTACGAGGAAAAAAGACACACTTGCATGAGCCTACAAAGAAGTCATAACGTGTCTATTCAACTATTTATTTTATTTCGTTGAACGCGAATTTATTTTGAACGCGAATTTACTTTATTTTGAAAAACGAACTGTTTTGACCTTTTGCAGCGCCTGTGTCTGACCGTGTCGCGCTTCACAGTATTGGGCTTTTATCATTGTGAATTCAGACTCCAGGTTGGTCAGATATTCATCTAGAAATGACGTTAATTGAACAGTTCCGTGTCTTCATTTTACAAAAACTGTTGGACAACTATATGGCTGTCTGATTTTGGCTGTGAAGTTTTTACTTACACCTAATTCGTGTTATTTATTGAGAGTTACAGTAGACAATCAAATGGCTATGAGATGCGCTAACTAGCCTGAAGCTACATTGTAATGAAATAAAGCGTTGCTCGTTTATTTAGTTCAAAAGTTCAATAACCCGAGATAAATAAAAAACAATCGGCTTATCTCGATTTGAAGTGGGAAATGAAGCGGTTTCCGCATAACCAGATTTGAGGAAGCTCTTCTGCTGTGTGTGGTTTAATCAAATAGCGTTGTAAAAGCATGGGTTCAAGATATCACTGAAGTATTACTATGTGTTCTCTGAGGTAACGTTACCATTAGAGAGTTTTGTAAACACCACGCTTTCTGAGAAGATGGGAACGTCAGTCGTTGTATTTATATTAAATATTGTCATCTGATATCATCACTGTACCCTGGTGCAACCGCAGTACTGTCCTGAAAAGAGATTATATCTTGATATTAGGAACTATAAGTTGTTCTTTCTGAAAGTTATAGGCTTAAACTCAAAGAGGTAATCAGTGTGAGATTTGTATTCGCCTCAGTCATAAACTTTATTATGCTGTTATTGAGTTTAGTGTGTTGTTGTCAGTCCACAGGTCCTGGTGTTTCTATGATCCCTGGGTCACTTCACAGCATCGATGGCCGATCATGTGGAAAATGCGGTCAATAATGTGGTAAGGCTGATTTCTGAGGCATATATTGTGATTGTTTTAAACTAGTGCTGCCAAATCCATTTATAGCATCTTAACATGAAGTTTGTATGTATGTAGAGTAAGTTACCGGTCAAAAGTTTGGAAACATTACTAGTTTTATGGTTGAATGTAAAAATATATAATTACAATTTAAAATAATGATTTCCTATTTTAATATACATTACACTGTGTGTATTCCTGTGATCAAAGCTGAGTTTTCCTCATCATTACTCCAGTCTTCAGTGTCACATGATCCTCAGAAATCACTCTTAATTAATATGATGATTATTATCAATGTTGGAATCAGTTTAATATTTTTTATAACCTGTGATGATTATTTTAGGATTAAAAAGTTTTAAATAAATTAATACTTTTATTCAACAAGGTTGTGTTGAATTTATAAAGAAAAATAGTGATAGTAAAGCCATATAGTGTTAGAAAAGATTTCTATCTTGAATGAATGCTGTTCAAATTCATCAAATCCTTAACAAAGTATCACAGGTTATAAAAAATATTAAGCAGCACAACTGTTTCCAACATTGATAATAATTAGAGTGATTTGTGAAGGATCATGTGACACTGAAGACTGGAGTAATGATGCTGGAAATGCAGCTTTGATCACAGGAATAAACTACATTTGACAGTTTATTAAAATAGAAAATTGTAATAATATTTCACAATATTACTGTTATTTCTGTATTTTTGATCAAAGAAATGCAGGCTTTGTGAACAGAAGAGACAATGCTTTCTTTTAAAAAAACATTAAAAATAGTATTTTTTCCAAACTTTTGACCGGTATTATATATGCACACACACACATATGTATATAAGGGGTTATCACCATAAATACACTTGTGTGTGAGGAGAGAGACCTTCCAGAGACACTCCCGTGGAGTGATTTGAGGACTCCATTTGAGTCAAGTCACTTTCATTTATACAGCGCTTTTTAAGAATATGGATTGTTTCAAAGCAGCTTTACAGTGAAAACAGGAGATTACAGTAACAGGGATAGTTTTGGCGTTACAGCAGATCTAGATTAAAGTTATTGTCCAGCTAAAGTTAGTTTTGATTGATTCACTTCCGCGGTAAAGATCATTAGTTATTAACTGCTTACACAACACTGTTTTAAGCAAGCATTAAAAAGTTTAGAAAAATGTTTTCATCTCCGGGTAAACTTTAAAAACGCCAATCTGTGATTGGCTGACGGCGTGCACGTGCGTATTACGTGTTCAGTCTATAGGTTTGTGTGTTTGTGTAAATATGAGGAGCGCATTGCAGTTGTGGAGTCTGGAGGAGACAGAGGCGTGGACAAGCTTCTGCAAGAGGAAGAGTTTGGCAAGGTTGAAGAAGGAGGTCTTGCAACGATGTTTGATTGTGACGAGCATTAAAGTTCAGTTGAGAATCCATTTTAACACCCAGGTTGTTGACTGATGTTGAAAGTAGAATATCCTGGCCATAGAAAATATAGCTAGTGATGTCTGACTGGAATAGCTTCTGTATTTGAGCTGTTTAACTGCAGGAAACTTTTAGAGCCAGACCGATATATCGGCCGATATTAGGCATTTTCCAAACTATCGGTATCGGCAGTTATAATGGCCGATAAATGAATATTTCAAAAATAAAATAAAAACGGATAAAACACGCTTGAACCATGTCATGAGTGTTGGAGTTGTATAGTTTGTCCACCAGAGGGCACTCTACACTGTCCCTGTTGGCAACACTCGTTGTTGAGTTGGTCACGATACATACATTGCTTGAATAACAATTAAAAGAACATCCGCATCAGTTCTCTTAACTCAAATAAGCATGACAAAATTCGTGACTATCATGTCCAGTTTTGCTGCTGTTAAATAAGCCGAGAGTGAAGCGGAATTAGCTAGTAATAGTTACGTTACGTTGTTACAGTGTAGTTGACTGACTGTCCTTTTAACTTTTGACAATGTGACTGAAGTATTTCTTTAATAGTGCGTAACAGTTATAGCAATCTCTATCATCTCATCAAACAAAATAAATATCATCAAACGTATCATCTCTCATCGGCCTGTTATATTGAAAATTTATGTTTTACAATTATGATGTTATCCATTGCTAAATTATGGCTCACAATAGACTAGCTAATCACAAAGCTAGCTAATATCACTATCATCAGTCTGTTTTGTTGTGACAATAAAAGAAACACGTTTTTTTTAAATGCATTAACATATTATTTTAGTTAAAACTCAAAAATAATCACAAATAACTTATGTTAGGGAAATCTGTTAATGTTTTATTCCGCGTTTCTGAAATAATTTTTTTTTTTTAAATATCGGCCAATATATATCGGAATATCGGATTTTAAAACCAACAAATATTTGTGTCGGTATCGGCCTTCAAAATCCTTTATCGATCGGGCTCTAGAAATTTTGCTTCATCCACGCTAGAGCTGCACGATTATTTGCAATTTACATGAAATCACATTTAAACCGCAATGGTTTATCGCGATTATCAAATTTCAAATGCTACGATTATGTTTGTAATGCTCAGTTTGTCATTGATCGGCTCTGTAAACGCTGAGAGTTTGAGTCACGTATAACGTGCATTTGAAAAAGCAACACGCGTCAAACACGAGAAGCGTTTATGAACCTCCTGTCCAACAAAAGACAACATTTGATAACATGCTTTTTCTCCAAACTCACTCCATAACGACAGTTGAGCTCATCCTTCTGTGAGAAGGCAGTCATGTGTTTATTAGTCATGTGGTTAATCAAAGCGTTTCAATACTCAGTTTATTCAGCTACAGCGATAGTATGATGCCCATAGGGATTTCCTGGAAATGACATGCGTTATCATACTTCTTCTGCTGGGCATATTTGACGAGAGCGCCTTCTTGTGTTTAGATGGAGCAGCATTTATCATCCATGCTGCACTGACAAGCTGTGCATAAAATAATAGCAGCCTTTGCCAAATCGCGTGTGGTTTTATTGCGTTTAATCGTGCAGGCCTAATCCACGCCTTTATTCCCTCCAGGCAGGGGGTCAGAGTGGTGGATGTCAGGGCAGCAGAGGGGTTGAATTTGTCCTGAGATAGTTGAGATAATCATCAGCATAGCAGTGAAATGAAGGGGAGCATATAGAGGAAGAACAGGGTGGGGCCGAGCACCGAGCCTTGAGGCACACCACTGAAAAATGTATTCACGCATGAATCGTGATTCTATCTCCCGCCGATTCAAATCGATTCACAAATTTCAAAAGTCGATTTTCTACATGTTTAAAGGGTTAGTTCACCCAAAAATGAAATTGATGTCATTAATGACTCACCCTCATGTCGTCCCAAGCCCATAAGATCTTCGTAACACAGTTTAAGATATTTTAGATTTAGTCCGAGAGCTTTCTGTCCCTCCATTGTAAATGTGTGTATGGTATACTGTCCTTGTCCAGAAAGGAAATAAAGACATCCTCAAAGTAGTCCATGTGACATCAGTGGGTTAGTTACAATGTTTTGAAGCATCGGAAATACATTTTGGTCCAAAAATAACAGAAAAGATGACTTTATTCAGCATTGTATTGGTGCCGGAAGTAAATTTCCGATTCATTTCTCCCATTTACATTTTGTAAAATCCATATATAAAGAGTATTAGAGCATGATAACCAGCTACGGCTGAACTCATAGGCAAACAACATATCATTTTGAGTGAAAAAACTAAGAGAAAATCCAAAAAAAGTCAAGGGTACAAGCCTGTGTACATAATTTCATTTCCGAGCAAAGGAACTGCTCGTCCCATAAACCACCGCGCCTCACTGAAGTCGTCTGAAAGCCTCCGTGAAAGAGCCTTTTGAGTGACTTCCAAATCTGACTACGACCACGTGAACTTTTTCCTCCAGTGAATTTTATATAGTGAAACTCCTTTTCCTCGATTTACTGAAGCAAACGCATTTGCAGCTCCACATGCTAAAACATTGAGCATCTGTCTCGCTCATTAGCTAAGATGTGGCAACTGCACATCCAATGGCGCTGGGGCGTCTCTGAGGTGCGACCAATGAACTTAGCCCTACGTCATTACATGATCTTCAGTCTGTCAAGTACGTTCGCGGGGTTTCAGATGCATCACTGTGGGATTGTGGGATTGTTCAGGATTGTGGGTAATGAAGTACTTATCCAATACATCACGAATAAAAGGCATTTATCTCAAAACAAGGTTAGTGCCCCATGAACTTTTGGCGTTTATATGAGCATATACAATCGCTTGATACAGCCGTAGCAGGATTTAAGTCTACCATATATGGTTACGTTTTAATGGCTTATATCCCAACTGACAATGGAGAAATTGTATTGAATTTTTTCTTCCGGCACCAGCTGTAGGCGGGACTGTTATGCTCTATAGGGGATTATCACGCTGATACGCAGTGTTGTAGTACTCGAGACTCGGACTCGTCTCGGGCTCGGTCTCGAGACCATATTTTAATGGTCTTGGTCTTGTCATGGACTCGTGTCCATTTGGACTCGGAATTGACTCGTACTCGAACATTCTTTTTTTTAGGACTCGGAATTATTCCCGAGTCCACTCGAGTTCAATTAAAAATATTTTTCATGATTATTAATGTATGTTAATAAAATATTTCTTTAAATTGATTGACACGCCCAGTGATTGGTGATTTTCTAGTGTGCAACTGCGCATGAAAAATTTTAATAAAATTACTTTTAACACCACCTACTATGTGGCCTTTTTACCCTAAACTGATCATATTTTTTAAACTAAGTAAATTCAGTAAAAAAAAAAAAAAAGGATTTCTCTTAGTAAATAAAAGTAAATTAGGTAATCAACCCTCACTGGTCTCGGTCTCGACTCGGACTCGACCATCTCTGGTCTCGGACTCAACTCGGACTCGACTCTCTCTGGTCTCGGTCTCGACTCTGACTCGACCGTCTCTGGTCTCGGACTCAACTCGGACTCGACTCTCTCTGGTCTCGATGTCGACTCGGACTCGAGTGAGGTGGTCTCGACTACAACACTGCTGATGCGTAGTACTTCCGGATTCAGTGATCTTTGTGCACTGCCACTTTCGTTGAATCACCGATCTCGCTGGCGAATTGATGAAGGACTACACTAAGTTTATTCATACGGCATCCCTGGTAAATTAGTCTGATTCACTAAAGTGCCGGCTGCAAACAAACGTGCTACCTTGTTTTATTTTAAAGTTTTAATCCACTTCTTTCATATACTCAGTCGGGAATCCATGAAAACTTACGTAGGGTTGGCGTTGTTGGTTAGATTTACAAAGTGGAACAGAGCAGTGAGTGACATAAATAGCATTCGTCTCAGGCATTGTTGAACTGCGTCGGAAGTGCATGCACAAAGTTGACAAATGCCGCCCATGAAACCTGGAAGCATGATAATCCCCTATTGTCAGAACGGGCTTTATACGATAATAGACAGCTGATCAACCGTAATGTAATCATCCACGTCACCAAAGAGCGCTTGGGTTGAGTTTGTTTACTACAAGATGGCCGCTGCTGGAGAGCTTGTTATAGACCATAGACATATACACTAGACTTCACCTTGGCTACGGCAGTTCATTAGAACGAATGCGTCAATAGAGCCGCCATCTTGAAACAGGGGAGCCCCTCCACTTTAATGCATCAGCGTCAATGTAGTAGACACAGGTCTAACGGAAATAAAATCACCATAAATCATCATGAATGCGATTTTTCTTGTTTTTTTGGTTTGTTCCAACGGTCAGACATGTATTTATCGTTGATTCCAGAAAGAATTTTTTTTTTTAAACATTCTTCCTAGTTTAGATTTCATCCGTGAACATCATACGCTGCACAAAAGTCCGCCACCATCAATGAATTCGAAGTAAAGGCAGAGATCCCAGACAGCAAACTGACATTGAATGAACGTGGAAACGACGTCTCTCATGACATTGAAACAACGTTGATTTTGCTCATCGAATTAACGTTGAACCAACGTCAGACGCGGCATTCTTCAAAGCTAAATGAAAATCGAAAATTGGTTTGCTTTCATAACGTTGAAACAACGTTGATTTCAAGTTGATTTTCCGTTAGTTTTGAAAGAATGACGCGTCTGACGTTGGTTCAACGTTAATTCGATGAGCAAAACAATGTCAGATCAAGGTTGTTTCGATGTCATATTTCCATGTTGATTCAATGTCAGTTTGCTATCTGGGATAGCAGCGTTACCTAGCTACTTCCTATGACAAGACCCCTGTGCCAAGATGGCGGCGGTTTTGACGCTATGCTTAGAACCCCAAGGTGAGGTCTAGTGTATATGTCTATGGTTATAGACTAGAACTTGTTACTCTATTATAGAAGATAAAGACAGCGCATTCACTTTAAAAAAGGAACAGAGCACGCGATCAAGGCATTTGTCGATCCAATTACGTCCAGAGGCATTTTCTCTCCTGATTCGGTTGAAACGCCCCATAGTCGCATAAACTCGCATGACTAGAGTTCAAGTATGACGACGTCAGGCTGACTTTTCCCAGCACCTGTAGTTGGCAAATACTTCTGGGTCCAACGTGGGTTTGGTTAGTGGAGCTGGAACATGGCCAGCCTGGAGCGAGTGGTTGAGGACCTTAGTAATCATGGGACATATGACAGAGTTTAGCAATGGCCATTTCATCTTTCTGATGATGTCATCATCTCTCGGTGTGAGATAAACAACAGAGTGGTGTGGATCAACAGTCGGGACGGGCGAGGCAGAGGAGCTAGATAGGAGAGAGGGGATAATGCCTACTTCTCCTCTGATTTCTCTTTTCTTCTGTGGGTTCAGAGGTTTGTGGTTTAAAGGGATAGTTGACTTTGAAATTAATTTTTGATGTTTTATCTTACCTCAAGGGCATCCAAGATGTAGGTGTCTTTGTTTCCACAGTATTTTCAATTTTGACATTTTTCAGTCAAACCGTTGTTGTCTATCAGTCGTACACTGGAGACTGAGGGGGTCCACCAAAGAGCATGCACAGAGAAGTCCAAATTAAACATGATTTAATGACTCATACATTTAAGTACACATTGATGGCCTAAGACACGAAACAAGCGTTTTTTGTGAGAAAACGAACAGTATTTATATCGTTTTTGCCTCGTGTAATCACAGTGATCTGAATCAGTTGTTCAATGTCCAACTGAACCGAACTGAATCAGTTCAATGTTACGCCGGAAGTGATCGCGTGTGACGTCACTCAATATTTACACAGAGATTTCGGAAGTTTTCCCTTTTACTAAACATATTTAGATACACCGAAATCGTCTTCCATTGCGGTTTCCCGTATATCTAAATATATTTAGTGAAAGGTAAAACTTCCAAAATCTCTGTATAAACAAAGAGTGACGTCGGCGCGCAAGCGATCACTTCCAGACCGAAGCACCCGTGCCGTCAGATCATTTTGTCATGGCTATGATTACAAGAGGTAAAACGATATAAATACTGTTCGTTTTCACACACAAACCGCTCGTTTCGTGTCTTAGGCCATCAATGTGTACTTACATTTACGAGTCATTAAATCATGTTTAATTTGGACTTCTCTGTGCATGCTCTTTGGTGGACCCCCTCAGCCTCCAGTATGACTGACAGACAACAACGGTTTGACTGAAAAATGTCAAAATTGAAAATACTGCGGAAACAAAGACACCTACATCTTGGATGCCCTTGAGGTAAGATAAAACATATCAAAAATTAATTTCAAAGTGAACTATCCCTTTAAGGATGTTATTTATAGTAGAGGAAAGTGTGGATCATCATGCTGGCGCTGTTGTTTCTGCATCGAGATCTACTGAAAGAACATTTCCCCATGATGACACTGGAGTAGATCAGAGGAGGTGTGTTCAGTTGTGTAAGATCGAGCCGCACCCGTGTCAGATAAAGCTAGGGCTTGAGGTATTCATCACTGTTTGTTGCTTCAGGCTACACTTATCTGACTCAGTCTTCACAGCTGGAGAAATCTGGCACTTTTTCAATATTTTCGTTTCCTCGTCACTGCCGGGATGAGGCTGAACGATTCAGATAACACATTAATTTTCTTGATGTTAAAGTCCTTTTCCTCAGGTTCATGGCATTGAATCTTTGAAAGAGATTTGTTTTATGCACTTACTAGCAGATTCAGTTTTTCAGATTCATTACAGCATCAAATACTTCGACATTATAGGCTTTGATTTGTTTACACTAAAACAATTGTATTTTTACATTTTAATGTGGAGTAAGACATGCAAAATATTCTGATTCTTCATTATTGTCCTCAATGGTTTCACTTTAATCAGTTTGCAAGCATTTGTTTACTGTACATTTTTGTGTATTATTTTATTGTATTTAAAGGTTCAGAGTTCTTGTTGTTATAACTTATCAAAAGAGGTCCGCTCTTGTACCGCTTGCCTTACCATAAAAACGTCAGCAATTATCGTGATAAAGCGTCACGTGTCCCTTGAAAACATGCATAATGACACAAAATATTTAATTTCAAATAAATGCTGTTCTTTTGAAGAGTCCTGAGACACACGTATCATGTTTCCACAAAAATATGAAGCACCACAACTGTTTTCAACATTGATAATAATCAGAAATGTTTCTTGTGCATCAGATCATCATATTAGAGTGATTTCTGTAGGATCATGTGACACTGAAGACTGGAGTAATGATGCTGAAAATTCAGCTTTAATAAACTACATTTTAAATTAGGGCTGTCAAACGATTAATCGCATCCAAAATAAAAGTTTGTGTTTACATAATATATGTGGGTGCACTGTGTATAATTATTATATATATATATATATATATATATATATATATATAAATACACACACATGCTTGTATACATTTAAGAAATATTTTCATACTGTATATAAATTTATATATAATTTATATTATATATAAATATATATTTTTTATATATAAATAATATTTTTTTCTTAAATATACATACATATGTGTGTATTTTTATATATATATATATATATATATAATTATACACAGTGCACCCACATATATTATGTAAACACAAACTTATTTTGGATGCAATTAATCGTGATTAATCGTTTGACCGCCCTAATTTTAAAGTATGTTAAAATAGAAAACCATTATTTTAAATTGTAATAATACTATGATATTGCTGTTCTTACTGTATTTTTGATAAAATAAATGAAGACTTCTTTCAAAAATGTTTGAAATAGTAATGTTTCCAAACTTTTGATTGGTACTGTTACTGTATACACATGCATATATATATATATATATATTTATATTAGGGCTGTGCAAAAATTAATTGCGATTAATCACATCCAAAATAAAAGTCTGTGTTTACATAATATATTTGTGTGTGCTGTGTATAATTATTTTGTATATATAAATACACACACATGCATGTATATATTTAAGAAAATGTGTTATTCATATATAAAATATTTATATAATATAGATTATGTATTTATTTATATATACAGAATTTAAGCGCAAATAATTCTTAAATATATACATGCATGCATAGGTATTTATATATACAAAATAATTATATACAGCACACACAAATATATTATGTAAACACAGACTTTTATTTTGGATGCGATTAATCGCAATTAATTTTTGCACAGCCCTAATATATATATTTAAAAACGTTTATGTTAGATGCAATTAATCGATTTGACTATTTTAAACACTATTGTCTATTAGTTGCTTATGTATTTTAGGGATTTGAGAATGAAGAATAATGGTAATTTTTAATTGTAATTATTTCACAATTTTACTGTTATTACTGTAGTTTTTATTGTAAATGCGCCTTGGTGAACAGAAGAGACTTATTCTAAAAACATTAAAAAATCGTACAGACCCTAAACTTTTGCACGGTAAAGCACAATAAAACAGATGCCTTTCATTCACTCTCGTTCTCTCTCTCTCTGTAGTCTAATGACGGTGCGGAGATCATCCGGCGCACGGAGACTCCCGGCAGGAACGAGGTGGAGCTGAACGGACAGCCGCCCAGCGCTCGACCCCCGCAGGTGCTCACAGACGCCGAGGAGGACGAGGACGAGGAGCTGACTCTCAAATATGGAGCGAAACACGTGATCATGCTGTTCATTCCCGTCACGCTGTGTATGGTGGTGGTTGTGGCAACGATCAAATCCGTCAGTTTCTACACGCAAAAGGACGGACAGCAGCTGTGAGTATCATCACAGGAGTCAGATTTTCCTATTATGCGCTTTAATAAAGTCTTGATGTTGTTCTTGGGGGTGATCAAGCTTGAATGCTGATTATATAGAGGGATATATGCCGTCGGCCGGAGTTGCTGCAGTTCCTCACAGTAAGTGGCAAAAATACTGAGCGGCTGTATTTGTGTTCAGCGTGAATGCCGCGAAAAGCAAGCACAACACATATAAAGTGGGAAAGAGCTTTGCGATTGACTGTACGACTAGATTTGACAAAAAATCAGAGGTATATTTTTACAGACTGCTATAGAAAGAGGAGCAAATGGATCAACTGGACTCCAGTCAGCGAAAGCTGGATCTGCAGTTTTCATTTTGTGTCAATATGATAAATTTAGCTGTAAAACCATACCGTTATATATATATATATATTAACAACTCATCAATTAAATATTTATCATTGCATATTCTGCATTATTGGATGTTTTTTAATAAACACTGACCAAAAAAAAAAAACTATAAAGTTTTATTTTGAACTCTCAAAGTGCACCAAATTGATGAATTTAACATTAAAAAATCACAAAATTTTCTTACAGAGAGGAAGTTCCCCCAGAGGAACAGGTGCACTCAAAATCCTGTGGGAAAAATCGGTATTGCTAGCTTGTTTTAGGATTACTGTGGAGTATAGTAGTTATTATATCATACTACTATATTATATTATAGTTAGTAGTTGTTTCATCTGGTAACTTTTACTCACTCCTATTCACTTATTACATCATGGTATTATTGGTTTTAGCAGGAGTTTGTATATGTGCAAAGTTCGGCTGTGTTTATGATCATATGTAGTGGGCCAGTCCGGGCCGATTTTTTTTTTTTTTTTTAGTTTTTTTTTTTAGTTTTTTTGTCCCAGTCCAGCCCCTTTCAACACACTACTAACTAAAGCCCTATTCGGCAGGACTAGTTTTCCAGGGGGTTTTAATCCCGCCCGAATCTGCCAAGTCACAACCTGTGAACCAGGGTTCTTCAAACCCACTGTCCTGCAGAGTTTGAGGAACCCTGCTGTAAACTTTCCAGGGCAAATGACCTACTGTTTTTTCAGCAAGCTCAACCTCAAAGAAATCTAATCCCGTCCGAAAGTGAATATCTGTGATTTATTGATGTTGTGTTGTGTTTTTGACCTACCCGAGTTGCTGTCTGCTCAACAATCTTTGGCATGCTTTCATTACAATGAAAAAATAACATATGCAATTAATAAATGCCTATTTTAATATCAGTGTCAGGGAAGAGTAAGATCCTTTCTCAGCCACTGCTATCCACAAGTTTCCTACGCCCCATGAGGCCTTGCATCAAAAATGGGCGCGACTTCCGGTTGGAAGTAAACAAAGCACGATTTGACATGCTTGACACTCGTTCATTCAACAGTTGACAGTCATTCAAGTTATAGCGATCCAAACTAGCTAACGATGTGGGAACACAACCTCAACGAAATTAAAAAAGGTGAAATAACAGTACCTTTACCCTCCGCAGTAGTTGGCTGGGAGTATTATAATAACATTATTAATAATCAATACTCATCAAGGCATGGTGACAGACAGTTGTGCGAGCTGACAAACAATTAAAATAAAAAACACACACTTAGTCATTGTGCTTTGGAGTTTATTCAAAATTATAAATGAATGTGCTGCTTGAATACATTAACTGGCACATTGGTATTCTGTCAACACAGGCTTTGATCCTGAGTTTAGCTGTAACATCAGTAGCGAACAGCCAATCACATGCTGAGAGAGTTTATAGAATATTAAGAATTTAAACAAATGTACACAGGAAGATTCGTCATCTTTTGGGAGGTGATGGAAACTACAGTCGTTGGCAGGATCAGAGACGGGCTCTGGCAGGATCACTCTGATTTAGTTTTCAGCTCAAAACAATCACGTTTAAGCCACTGAATTAGTTTAGTCCGGCTATACATACAACCGCGAACAGCACATGTTGTCCCTGAGCTCCGTAACGACATCTCTCATAAAGATTTGCGTCTTTAAATAGTAAAATAATTCTCCGAAAAACAGCTAGCCTCTTTGCTAACTAACACACAAAATACCATTGGAATGCTACTTCCGCCGCCTCACCCGAAGTTTCACCCACTTTATTTTTTACAGGAGCGCCCCTCGGAAACTTGTGGATAAACTCGTGAAGTTTACTTAAATGTTTTTTTATGAACGTACAATATAGTAAAAAACATAAACATGGACATGTTCGTCCCGTCCGAAACAACAATACATTGAAGAATTAAGAGACAAAATGTAAGAAATGAGAATTAAAACTCAAACGTCACTTAGAAAACTAGTCCCGTCCCAATAGGGCGTAACTCAACCAGGCCCCGCCCCTTTATTCTGCGTATGAATTATTAAAATGAGGAATATTGTGACGTGTTCGTTCCCAGAAGAAACTCATGACTACGATGGAGGCGTTTCAGGAGTTCACAAACAGTGACACTGATGACTTGTAACTTTGCAGATGTGTTTCACGATCAAACAGCAACATTACACACTCGAGAAAGATGAACGTGTAAACGCAGGATAGCTCCTCTTTAAAGTTGTATTTCAGTGTCATGGTTTCCAGCCTCTCCCCCTTCAGGCCTGCTTGACAGTCCTTGAAACTCCTGGAATTTCATTTTAAAGTGTCTGTCAAACCCTGGAATTAGTTTGTTCATGTCTTAAAGCAGCTAAATATTTATGTAAGCTAAATACTAATCATGACCTGACATGAATCACAGATGTGTTTGTTAGGATAAAGCTAGAATTCTTCCATGCAGTCCTCACCCAAAAATGAAAATTAGCACATGATTTCAGACGAATACAATCAGAGCTATATTAAAAAATGTCCTGGCTCTTCCAAGCTTTATAAATAGAGTGAATGAGTTTATTTTTGTGTTATATTATAATCGTAACACTTTTGGGTTTTTTGGCCCCTATTTGTCATGAGCTGAACTCAAAGATCTAAGACTTTGTCTATGTACACAAAAGGCCTATTTCTCTCAAATATTGTTCACGAATCTGTTAGTGAGCGCTTCTCCTTTGCCGATATAATCCATCCACCTCACAGGTGTGGCGTATCAAGATGCTGATCAGACAGCAGGATTATTGCACAGGTGTGCCTTAGCCCTTCGGGGTCGCCGATCACGCCGGCGTGATCAAGTTACATGTCCAGTTTAAGACGTCGAAGCATAAAAACAAAGTCACGTTGAGTGCTGCCGTCCACTTCTGTTGAAAGTGCTGACTTGAAACTCTATTTTACTTTTTGTTTTGTGTTGATAGACCAAGTAAAAACGGAAATATGATCATTTAAACTTTATATTAAAAAAAATGTACGCGTATATTGACGCGTTCGTAAAAGAACGCAAGACGGGATGTGACAGACGTTGCATTTATTCGAATAACTTTGTCGGTTTTTGTCATAAAACAAAACGGAGAAAAATGTGTGAATCTGCTGGCTCTGATCTTCAGGCTGCACATTTCACGGAATGAAGGAGGAGCCAACCGAGGCAAAGACGCGAAAGTGAAAAAGGCAGGAGATTTACGGAGTAGACAAAGAGAGACACATATACGTTATATATATATAGAGAGAAATTATTGCTAGTTTGAGTAGATTTTGAGAGTAATTTAGGAGTGGTGTAGATAGTTTAGGAGTAGTTTAGGTAGTTTAGGAGTAGTGTAGATAGTTTAGGAGTAGTTTAGGAGTAGTGTAGATAGTTTAGGAGTAGTTTAGGTAGTTTAGGAGTAGATTAGATGAACTGTTTTGAGGATTGGCACAGATATAAAAAAAACAACAACAAATAAACACCTGATATTTGTCGTAAATAGTTGAATGTATGTTGAATAGTCAACCGTTATCTGAGATTTGTTTTCATGATTGCCGAATGTAAATAGTTTTATCTCTAAAAACAGTTTAGCCTATAACGCTAGTATAATGCTAGTATATAGGGCATAGAGTAATGACAAATAAAATCGCTTGTTATTCCCACTAACAAGGCTCAAAATAGCCCCACAGTAACACGACAGCATAACAAGGGTCCCTACAATCAAACCGAAGCATTGAGAACTTTGTCAGTGTCCATACAGTTTAATAAGAAGATATTTTATACACACAGTCAACTTCGCGAATACAGGAAGAAGCCATCTTTAAAAAATAGTCTCTACCAGTCGATCTACGAACGCCGATCCAAGTGCGCTTAACTGTGCAGAATCTCATATGGTCCGTTTGTTTCCGGAAGAAACACAAACACAAACCGTTTACTTGTCTTCAATATGTACACGTAGCCTACTGTTCGCGCTCACATTATCACCTTATTCACATCTCACCAGTGCACTTGGATCGGCGTTCGTAGATCGACTGGTAGAGACTATTTTTTAAAGATGGCTTCTTCCTGTATTCGCGAAGTTGACTGTGTGTATAAAATATCTTCTTATTAAACTGTATGGACACTGACAAAGTTCTCAATGCTTCGGTTTGATTGTAGGGACCCTTGTTATGCTGTCATGTTAGTGTGGGGCTATTTTGAGCCTTGTTAGTGGTAATAACAAGCGGTTTTTATTTGTCATTACTCTATGCCCCATAAACTAGCGTTATACTAGCGTTATAGGCTAAACTGTTTTTAGAGATAAAACTATTTACATTCGGCAATCATGAAAACAAATCTTAGATAACGGTTGACTAGGTAACAATGTGTAATTAGACTAAAGGTTCATTTTGCGCCGGAGTTGTCCTTTAACATGACGTCTATGTATATTTGCTCCCTTTTGGGACCGCCCTCTAGCGGATTTGGGATGTATTGCAGTTTTTCGCACTTCCGGGTAGGCTTCATCTTTCAGATCAGAATGTTGCCGCTTGAGATTAGCGTGCGTCTGTGTGTGTTGCAGGATCTACACCCCGTTTCGCGAGGACACGGACACGGTGGGCCAGCGCGCTCTGAACTCCATGCTGAACGCCACCATCATGATCAGTGTGATCGTGGTCATGACCCTTGTGCTGGTGATGCTCTACAAGTACAGATGCTACAAGGTCTGTTCACTCTAGTGTTAGTATCACACTCATGGTTTTTGCACTCACGCTGCAGGTTCATGACTTGTTTTGGGGCTTTTTTTTGCAGGTGATTCAAGCCTGGCTGTTCCTCTCCAACCTTCTCCTCCTCTTCTTTTTCTCCTTCATTTATTTGGGGTGAGATCCGTTTCTTGTCCTAGCGTTGGGCTGTGGTTTATAGGGCTATTATTGAAGTGATTATTATGTCTGTAGCATGTTTGGCAACCAAATGTTGTAATGTTATTTCCATCAGCTGATAAATACATTTTTAAATCAAGATATTGTATTGACAATGCAAGAGTTAAGACTCTCTAAAGTCTCATCCACCACATCCCAAAGACTTTTAATGAGTTTAAAGGGTTAGTTCGCCAAAAAATGACATTTCTGTCAGTAATTACCAAGGGTTTAATCCATCAGCCAGAAGTTGAAGCCTCGCGTGAGCCGCCATTGTAGCAGAACTTCGCCGACTGTTAGCATTCCATTGACTCCCATTCATTTTGGCGTCACTTTGACAGCGAATAACTTTACATCCGAGGCGTCCATGGACTCCATTTGTCCATTATTTATTTCTAAAGAAACACAACAGTGTATAAATAGGCAGCAATGTCATTGCAACTTTCAAGACCCGGAAAGGTAGTAAAGACATCTTTAAAATAGTCCATGTGACTCCAGTGGATCAAATATAATGTTATGAAGAGAATGCCTGCTCACTATTGGCTCCAGCGTCAGCATCACACGCCAATAGTGAGGCGGCGTTCTAGGGTTGAACCAGGAAGTGCTGCAGAGAATGACGTGGAAGAGAAGAGAGTGTTGAATAAAGTCGTTATATCGGGGGTGGGGGGTTTGCACACAAAGGATTCTCGTCGCTTTGTAACATTTAAGGTTGAACCACTGGAGTCACATGACTATTTTAACGATGTCTTTACTACCTTTCTGGACCTTGGAAGTTGCAATGACATTGCCGCCTATGTGGGGTCAGAAAGCTCTCGTATTTAATCAAATATATCTTAATTTGTGTTCTGAAGATGAACGAAGGTCTTACAGGTTTGGAACGACATGAGGGAGAGTCATTACTGACAGAATTACAATTTTTGTGTGAACTATCCCTTTAAGGACTCCAATTCATGTGTGAAAATTATTCTTCATGCTCCTCCCAACCATTCCTTCACAATCTGATCCTGATAAATCTTGTAATGTGGCCAAAATGCGTTTCTTAAATGATGGTTTAAGAAATGAAAAGCTACACACTCCATCAATTAAAAAAAAGGTACATGGACTGCATTTATATAGCGCTTTCATAGATCCAATGGCCACCAAAGCACTTTACATATTGCCTCACATTCACCCATTCACACACACATTCATACATCGTTGGCGGTGTTACCCATACAAGGCGCCATCCAGCTCGTCGGGAGCAGCTGGGGTTAGGTGTCTTGCTCATGGACACCTCGACACTTGGTCAGGTGGAACCGGGGATTGAACCACCAACCCTCTGGTTTGTAGACAACCTACATGAACCACTGAGCCACTAAATTAGGGTTAGAAGAACTGTTCCCAAACATAAAACATGCTAGAAACATAATAATCACAGCAATAATGATGCAGTCATAGACTCTTAAGCATATGTATAGATTGGGAGCTTGTTTTCACCACAGAATAAAAAAAAAAAATTGTAACTGCATGATATGAAGTTGCAATTGTGTGTTATAAAGAAAGAATTGAGAGATATAAACTCACTATTTTTTTTTTTTATTCTAATGGTGCGTTCACACTGGACGCGAATAGCGCGTCAAGCGAGAGTGATTTCAATGTCAAGGCAATGCAAAGAATGTAAAAAATTCATGCGGCGCGAATTCTTGCGGCACGGTAAACGCGAAACGCCTCATTTGCGCGTCAAGTTCGTGAATTACGCGAATTGATCGTCTGGTGCGTTAAGAGTGAATGATTTAGTGCTGTTTGTGCATTCGCTTTTTGACGCAAATTCGCGCCTGCCGCCTGAGTTGAAAAATCTGAACTTTGGCGTCAATTCGTGCCGCGTTAACCAATCGGTTCGCCTCCGAAGGGTCCGGTGGACACAAATACGACTATGATCACCACGCCGCTGTTCTGCTCTCTAGAGCAAATACAGAGCGGCGACTCTCTCGATGAATGGTCGGTCAACATAAAAAAGATGGCCGCCAACAGGTTTCGATTCCGACACGCATAAATTTCGCTTCAAACTTATGTTTTTACACGCGTCAATTTCGCTCTTGAAGTGCGAATGGATTCAAAGTGTTCAAGCGTATAACTAGACGCGGTAGGCACGAATTTGACATGCTATTCGCGTCTGGTGTGAACGCACAGTTAGAATAGGACTATATAACTCGCGATTGCAATTTTATTTTATCTCACAATTCTGAGAAAAGATGTGAACTTGCAATTGTGAGATAAAAAGTCGAGTAAATATTTTATTCTGTAGTGGAAACAAGCTTTCACTCATTTGCTTATTTAAATCGGAACAGCACATTTTTTGGCCGGGCAGTGTGAAATACAGCTCAAATGTAGTTCCCAATGGCCGTGTCCGATGCTCATCTTATGGTACGAGAGCATTGGTTCTGATGACAGATGCACTGTGTTTCTTCACACCAGGGAAGTGTTCAAGACATATAACGTGGCCATGGACTACTTCACGGTGGCGTTGATCATCTGGAACTTCGGTGTGGTGGGAATGATCTGCATCCACTGGAAGGGTCCTCTGCGGCTCCAGCAGGCGTATCTGATCATGATCAGCGCTCTCATGGCCCTGGTCTTCATCAAGTACCTCCCCGAGTGGACCGCCTGGCTCATCCTCGCTGCTATATCCGTCTACGGTCAGTCAGAGTTCATCTGGTTCATATTTACAGTTATAAAATGGTTAGTTCCAATCCTTGATTCTGATTGGTCAATAGCTGTTTCATTCACAATAAAACACGGCTTTGACCGCTTCACCCAACGGTTCTATGTATCACTACACAACACCCCTAGCAACCACTCTTAGCAACGTAAACACATGTTTGATCTCATTGGTAGCCTATTGTTCATTGAAGCTAGAGTAGAGTATTGTGGGAGATCGAGGAAGCGCGTGATCCTGCATTTACAGTAGACATAGCATTTTCCATTTCTACCGACTGACGAAATAATGTATGTAACTTCTGTTGCTGTTTACGGGTAGGGAACTATTTTTTCCAGCGGAAGGAAGGCTTTTAGTGATTTTTACTTCATGAAAGTAATGATCCAATAACTCAGCTTCACGTCTTGACTTACATCACCCTTCAGCCGTGACTTATTCACGATACGACACAGCCTCTCGAACTGCATTGCTTACTCGTATATTGTAGGAATGCACAATATATCGGCCATCATATCGGTATCGGCCGATATATGCTCATTTTTGATGTCATCGTTATCGCCCCGATTGGCTAATATATTAAGGCCGATATATAATCGGATTGTTTCCTTCAGCTGAGACACTTCAGATGCCAACTGTTCAACCTGATGGGTTTGAATTGCTTGAAATATGATTGAAATCTCTTAAAAAAAATGTGCAGCACAGATCTGTCATATAGGCCACAGTCAATTATAATGAGAACATTAAAAATGGTGAGTGGATTTTAATGGTGAGACTTTTGTTTTTGCTACCAGCTCGGATAAAGGATTTAAAATTGTATTTTGCTCTTTAAAAATTATATGAATTTTTATAATATGGATGTTGATCGCCCAACATATTGGTTCACCGGCTTTCAAATGTAAAGAGTTATTGGTATCGGACAAAATGTTCATATCTGTGCATCTCTAATATACAGTATTTAGTACTTTAAAGTCTGTGTCTGTACTTTATTGGATAATTTTTATTTTGGTAGACTTGCATTTCATAAAAATGTGTCAAACTGACAGCCGTACTGTGATTCGTGAACAAGCTAATTCTTTTTAATTAACCAGCTGAATTGGAAATCGCACTGAACGATTCATTTGCAAATTGATTGCAGCGATTCTCGAGTCAGCAACTCAATGATCCGGTATCCAGGTCTCTGAACTGTTCATGTCTAACTCTAAATGAACTTCGAGATCCTAAGAGCATGAGTGTGTGATATGAGTGTGTTATTAATGTCAAATTTGAAATAGAAGTCATATTTGATCCAGTTGTGTGAATTAATGCTGTGGTGTGTGTGTTCTTGCACTACTGTAGATCTGTTGGCGGTGTTGTGCCCTAAAGGACCTCTGCGTATCCTCGTAGAAACGGCTCAAGAGAGGAATGAACCCATTTTCCCAGCGCTCATCTACTCCTGTAAGTAATAAACCTCTCAGCACTTCTGTCTTCTCGGCCTTTTCGGTGTTGTCTGTCGCATTTACACGTGTTCTCCTTTGATTTGTCAGCAACCATGGTGTGGCTGTTTAATATGGCGGACGTTGCGGAGACCGGGAATAATTCCAGCCATCCAGTTCCTCAACAGGAGAACCAGGGTGAGTGTTTGCTGTTAAATGAGAACTCCGGCGAACAATGAACCTTTGGTCTAATAAAACATCGGCACCTAGTCAACCGTTCTCTGAGATTTGTTTTCATGATAATTGAATGTAAAGAGTTTTATCTCTAAAAACGGTTTAGCGTATAATGCTAGTAATGGGGGCATTGACTAAGTAAAAAGAAATCGCTAGTTTATACCACTAACAAGGCTCAAAATATCCCCACACTAACACAGTAACATAATGAGGATCCCTACATGCAAAACAAAGCATTGAGAACTTTGTAAGTGTACAGATCGTTTAATAAGAATATACTTTATAAAGACAGTTCACTTCGTGTATACAGGCAGGAGCCATCTTAGAAAATAGTCTCGATAAGTCAAACCACGAACGTCGTGCTGAGTGATCTGAACTGTATGAAGTTCAACGAACTTCAGAACTGTATGAACGACGTTCGTGGTTTGACTTTAATTTAATAAAGAACTCCGTCTCGTCTTCTGTCCAAACGCACCGCGCCCTTCTAAGTCAGGTGACTGTAAATGCGCAAAAACTTGTTTCCAGTGCAGTTTCGCGAAATATTCCTTTTTTCGAATTGCTTGAAAAACCACCTCATGCGAGCGTAAACGTGTTTTTGCGGTAAACGGGAGTTTTCATTAGGCATATTTTCAATTCGCAATTTGAAGGGTAACGGACGCGCGGCTTCTGTCTCCAGCAGTGGCGGTGGCGCCCACAGCCCAGCCGGAGGATGATGGGGGTTTCACACCGGCGTGGGTGGATCATCAGCAGCACCAGCTCGGCCCGATGGACTCCACCGACGAGACCAGGCGAGAGATCCAGGAGATGCCCTCCGCACGACCGCCCGCCGCCGAAGACGACGAAGAGAGTGAGTATCAGCAGGGCTACGCTCGCATCACCGTAGGATATACTTAAGCAGTATCACACAAGCAAGTGTGAGGTTTTCCCCAATATCAGCACGACTGCAGATGTGGAAGTGGCTTTATACAACATTGATTGTATACATATTAGACACATTATTGTCTGTTTTTGAATGAATCAGTCATTCAAAGATTCATTCATAAAGATGACTGACTTGATTTGCTATTGAATGAATTCGGTTGGGTGAATGACTCTGTGATTGAGTCATAGACCTGTTGGTGGTTTTTAGATTCATATTTTAATTTTAATTTCCAAAAATTAAATGATTTTTAACACATTAAACTAATAGCATTATTAATGCATTTGTGCTTGCTTATACATGTATATTCTGTTTTAGATGCCGCTTCTGCGGTGCAAAAATGCTTTTTGTTGATACTCATTTGATTTTATTTGTAACCTCTTCTATAGTCTTATTATACCAATGGCATTTATTTATTAAATGTAAGAATTTGACATCCGAGATATTGCATGCATCTAATAAGGTTAGGAAAAAATGATCTAATAAAGGTAAAAACAATAAAGTTGGCAAATATTTGCCCTTATTTAAAAAGTATATTTCTGTCCCAACTAGGGGTGTCACGATTTCGATATTAAATCGAAATTGATCGAAATTAATTCAATGGTATCGAAATCGAAATAAAAAATGGTATCGTCGATACTGCCACGCCCCATGTCGCGTCCGTGATGGAAAGTTCAGATCGTTTTACTGACTCTATTGTTCAATCTCGTTCATCAAAATTAACTAAACTTTTTTTCTAGTCATTTCAGGGGCTTTAAATGTTATATTATTAAGTTATGTTACTTGTTTTTGTTATATTTTAAATTTGGCAATGGTGTAGTGTACATTGTGAACAAATTTATATTGCATAATGCATAAATGTGTAGTCTAAAAATTGCATAGCAATCTGCGCTTTACATTTTTTACATTTTTTTTTTTAAATCGAGAATCGAATTGAATCGTGACCTTAGAATCGATAACTTAATCGAATCGAGGATTTGGAGAATCGTGACACCCCTAGTCCCAACTGTAAACTAACCACTCACTGCACAGAAAAAGTAGAATATGAAAAGCTTCATGAGTCGGCTGTCAACAACAGACCTAAACCAGTCAAAACACAAAATATCCAGATATTATACCCTAGTCCTGAGATGACGTTCAAATAGTTCTGATTCAAAATGCAGTGACACGCTTATATTAGCAAGTGATGTATTCAGTCATATATTCAGAGGAAAAGATGCCCGTTAAAGGGATAGTTCACCCCAAAAATGAAAATTGTGTCAGTAATTACTCTCCCTCATGTTGTTCAACCCTGTTCATCTTCAGAAACACAAATTAAGATATTTTTGATTACATTCTCAAATTTTTGAGCTGTCTCACTCCTCCACAGGCTTCTATGTTATTGAAACTTGCCGGCCCAGAAAAGTTATTAAAGTAACTAGCCATTATTATTAATGGAAAGAGACGTGTATGCATTTATCCAAGCTTTAATGGCAAGGAAAGCCCCTTTATACCTGTGATCACACATCTCCCTCATTTCTGCTTCAAGCTCTTGATAAACTGTGGCATTTCTTTGTGGTTTACAGTCCAGTGTTGCCATGATATGCTTGTCTTTTATGAGTTTAGTGAAGAACTCTGTCTCGTCTATTGTCCGAACATACGCATCTACGTCAGGTGACCTGTTGTAAATTCGCAAAAACTGTTTCCATTGCAGTTTTGCTAAATATTCCTTTTCCGAACTGCCTGAAAAAACACCTCATGCGAGCATACAAAGTTTTTTGTGATTTTATAGAAGTTTTGCGAAAATGACGTGGTAGTGAATGACACGGGGGTAGTGATGGCTCAAAATACAATGTTAGTGATCTTATATGTTATAATGAGAAATTATTTTCAGTTCATTATGAAACTGGAGGGACAGATAAGACTGTGGCAGTCCAACAGAATCGATGTATTTAATGGGAAACTCTGCAAAGTTTCCAATTAAATGAAGTATACACTCAACTAAAGGATTATTAGGAACACCTGTTCAATTTCTCATTAATGCAATTGGGCTACAACAGCAGAAGACCCCACCGGGTACCACTCATCTCCACTACAAATAGGAAAAATAGGCTACAATTTGCAAAACTGGACACTTGAAGACTGGAAAAATGTTGCCTGGTCTGATGAGTCTCGATTTCTGTTGAGATATTCAGATGGTAGAGTCAGAGTTTGACATAAACCGAATGAGAACATGGATCCATCATGCCTTGTTCCCACTGTGCAGGCTGGTGGTGGTGGTGTAATGGTGTGGGGGATGTTTTCTTGGCACACTTTAGGCCCCTTAGTGCCAAATGGGCATCGTCTAAACGCCACGGCCTACCTGAGCATTGTTTCTGACCATGTCCATCCCTTTATGGCCACCATGTCCCCATCCTCTGATGGCTACTTCCAGCAGGATAATGCTCCATGTCACAAAGATCTAATCATTTCAAATTGGTTTCTTGAACATGTCAATGAGTTGACTGTACTAAAATGGCCGCCACAGTCACCAGATCTCAACCCAATAGAGCATCTTTGGGATGTGGTGGAACGGGAGCTTCGTGCCCTGGATGTGCATCCCACAAATCTCCATCAACTGCAAGATGCTATCCTATCAATATGGGCCAACATTTCTAAAGAATGCTTTCAGCACCTTGTTGAATCAATGCCACGTATAATTAAGGCGAAAGGGGGTCAAACACAGTATTAGTATGGTGTTCCTAATAATCCTTTAGGTGAGTGTGTGTTTACTATAGATATGTTATATGTTATCTCTGCCTGTATGTGATGTGAAAATAAGATAAAAATTGGATGTTTTTATAAAAAGTGTTTTTTGAAGTTGCATAATATTGTTACCTGTAAGCCAAACCCTCTCTGTGTGTTTGTTCCTGTGTTTGTCAGGGGGTGTGAAGCTGGGTCTGGGAGATTTCATATTTTACAGTATGCTGGTGGGTAAAGCGTCCGCTACAGCCAGCGGAGACTGGAACACCACTCTAGCCTGCTTTGTGGCCATTCTCATCGTAAGTATCCCACAGGAAACTCACTAAATAAGCTTTTTTTCAGGTACTATTCCCCCAAAACGTATTAGCACACGTGAGCCACGGTTTCACGCCTGCCGTTTGCCTTGTAACATGGCTCATTTTACCCTTTGTTCGGTTTGTGTGGGCATGTGAGGGCGTTTGTAATCGCATTAGACGACTTAAAGCACATGTCATCTCCAAACAAAATGATGTTAGAGTATTATTTAATCAAGAATACAAATAACGCGTTGTCTGTGGTCATGTAACAGACTGTTATTGCTATTGGTTTCTGGTGCTAGGGGAGATGGAAAGGATCTTTAATATTCAGTTCGATTTTGACCCAGTCTCACTGGTGTTGGGTAATAGATGCATTACTTCTGCTAATAATATCATTAATTGTATTAATTGTATAATATCAGTGAAATTGTATAACTGGATCAGTGATACATTTCCATCCCTAAAGGATGGCACAAGATCAGTTTTGAGTTGATTCCCCTGCAGTCTTACAAATGTGTTAATTGGAAAAACAGGCCAGTTTTACAAAGTCTGGACCATATCTGGATGCCTTCGAACCTTGTCTTTGCCCTATTATATTACACGGATCATTGTAACTGCGTAACTTTCTGGACATTTAACCCTCTGATGGTCTTCCTTTATGAGTCACGTCCTGGGCCTTCCCGGTCAGAAGTGACCGGAGGCCTAAAAATGAAACTTCTTCCATCCCAGTAAAACCAATGCAATTTATTTTTGTTCTATAATATTTATTCTTTTTAATTTAGTATTTTGAGACAATTTGATTGAATTTATTCATATTTATGCAATATTTATTATAGTCTATTTTTTCAATGGAAATATATATATATATATATATATATATTATTTTTAAAAAAGAATTATTAATGCAGTATTTTAGTTTAATATAGAGTCTAGACCTTTAGAAAAAATATTTTTGACGAAAATTAGCACCATTTGGTTACAGTATAGATAAAAAACGTAGAATCATGGTGGAACCAATAGATGGCATGTACAGCTCTCTATGGAGAGGCATGTGAATTGCCCAGCTGTTTATGAACAATTTTTTTTTTTTTTTGGTGGATTTGAATATGTAATTGAAACAATCTCAAAAACTATTAAAAAATTTAGAAAAAAATGAATTAATTAAAAATTGTGAATTTTTGTGTTTTTGTCAATTTCCCATTCATTTCCTATGGGGGTCATTTTTTTGACCAAAGACCAAAATCGTGACTAATTTTTTTAAGACCACTTAGCATGCTCGGATCATGACCCCAATTTTTTGTGTGTTCACATACATAATGCCATAAAAGTCACCAAGTTTCGTAACATTCCGATGAAGCTGTGATTTTTAAAAATTCAAAACATACTTTTTGTAGTCTGAATTTATTGGTGTGTATGTGTATAAAAGTGTGTTTGTATGTGTGTGTGTGGGTGTAAATTTTTCGCACTCTTGTTGATGTTGTAGAGTGTCACCCCTTTACCGCGGTATACTTCTTTTAATAATCGTGGCTGATTTGTGGATTGTACAAACAAAAATTCAGAGAATTTCTGACCGAAGACCACGAGTGTGACTATTTTTTTTTACAACCACTTAGCATGCTCGGATCATGACCTCAATTTTTTTTTTGTATTCACATACCAAATGCCAAAAAAGTCACCAAGTATCATAACCTTCCGATGAAGCTGTGATTTTTAATAATTCAAAACTTATTCGGTCAGAAGTGACCAATGACCATCAGAGGGTTAACCTTATTTTGTCTCCCTCTTCATCTTTTGGAAGGGTATATTGTATATAATCTTTTTTTAATTTTTACAAATCTGCCTTATGTTATGGTCCTGTTTTATTTAAAATTCTGGGCTATCCCTTTTTTTTTCTTTCTTTCTTTTTTTGTGGTATGGAAGCATTTGGGCAGCAATATGCAATTTGAAATCTAAAATGACAATGTAATGTAAAATGGCAATGCATTTCTGTATTTAAATTTTACATTTACCAATACATTTGTGCAACAACTGTTGCAAAATTAAAATGATAATTCAATTATATAATTTCATACCCTAGTTTTAAAATGTAAATTGAATGCATATTTTAACTCTTTATAAGTTTCAATATTAAAATCAAAATGTATTACAGAAATGATTAGATATGTTTCATATATTCAAGCTAAAACTGTTGCATTGATAAAAATGCAATCGGAAATGCCTTAAATGTGAGTGTAAATGCAATTAAGAAAAATAACATTTAAATGCTCATTTTTTGCTTGAACATGTTAGACATAACTGAGCATTTCTGTAATACATTTTCATTTTGCAACTTATAAAGTGTTAAAATCAGTATTCAATTTACATATTAAAACTAGTGTATGAAAAGGGAAATTAATTGATCTTTCATTTTCAAATGTAATGGAAAAATGTCAATTAAAATACAAAAATGCATTGCAAATTTGCAAATTACATTTCAAATTGAACATTGCTACCCAAATGCTTCCATACTGGGCGGTTGATGTCTTGGTATATATTTGTATTTGAAGAAAATTCAATAAATATAATTATTTAAAAAAAAAAAAGAAGAAGAAGAAGAATACAAATCACCTAATCCATTTTGCATCCAAAAATGCGCAATTGGTCAGCTTTTTCCAATATTCTGCTTATTTTCTCAGGGTTTATGCCTAACTCTTCTCCTCCTGGCGATCTTCAAGAAGGCTCTCCCAGCTCTCCCCATCTCCATAACCTTCGGCCTGGTGTTCTACTTCGCCACCGATAACCTGGTGCGGCCCTTCATGGATCAGCTGGCCGTTCATCAGTTCTACATCTAGAGAGGTCACTTCTCACACACTCCCGTCTACAGCGTGTTCCCAGAACCCTCTTTCAGGGAACGTGAACCCTGTAGGCTAGCACACACTTCCTCTGGACACGACTGGATTGGCTGTTTTTGGCATTGAATGACTCTTTATTAATTACAGTGCCTCTCCAGTGACTGATATTTGCTTTGGTAACATCTTTGTTTGTTTGGAGAACACACAGAGACCATCTAAAGCCATCTTACATGTGTGAATGCATTTCCGACAGTGGTTATGACTTCATTTGGAGTTGGATCGAACGGGACCAGTGCTTGCTTTGGATTCACTCTCTAGGCGTCATGTTAATTCCTTCTCTGATTTAGCGAACATTAACCAAAGCCCTCTGAATGATATGACTGTTCACACACAGGTAAGGTACTTTGAGTTTTGGATTGACGCCTCGAGTTTTCTTATCGAGTCCGTTTGACCATTTGAGACGACGTCACGTGCTCTAGTTTAAGTGCTGATCCAAGCTACTGCTGTGCTCTCCTGGAAAGTATGGGAGCATTATTTTGGAATGTATAAACTTTGTCTTTTAAATTTCCTCCGTTTGTTTGTTTAATTTTTTTGTTGTTTTGTTTCTCTTCTTTTTTTTATTTACCTGCAAGATGATTTACGAGTTACTTTTACGTTCATACTAGCCACACCTTGTCATTTTAAGAAAAGATTTTGTAACTAAATTGAAAGATTCACAAATAAAGGGGTTGCTCATTTGAGCAAATTTCAGTCTTCTGTATCACGTTCTGTTAAGAGTTTTAGAATTGAGCTATTATTTTTAATCTTCACACTGAGTATACAGTAAATATGTGAATTGGGGGTCTGTAGCGTTTTGTGGTCCATTTACTCGCATCACGTTTGGAGGAAGTCAAAAACGTGACAAAGATTTGAATTGGCCACCAAAAGAAAATAGTATTCCTTCAATAGAGAGCCTAAGTCCCGCCCCTCCGCTTCCGGCTCATGGGAACTTATTTCGGAAAAAATATGTATGGTAGTCAATGACGAGAGACAACTTATCTTTTTATTCCGTCTGAACTGTGCCCTCAATTACACATATGATGTTTGTCAATTTAAAGGATAATTCTGAAAGTCGAAAACGTCGCCGTTTGTCATAAAACAGAAGAGTAACGTTTAGTTGTATGTGAAAATCGCTCAATGAACTACATCTCCCAGGGAGTGAGATCCGCTGCTCGTGTGTGTGTAGTCTGGCACAAAACACTCAGGTATGACGGCGTAACGTTACGATTATAACGTAAGACTGTAGAAACAATGACAGACATTAGCCTCAGTAAAGTTAGCTTCATTCATTGAGAGAAAATGTGCGCCTTTGGGGTTTGTAGTCTTTGTAATATACGTATTTTCACAGTCTTATACCTCAACGGTTTTACATCAAACTGCGACTTTCTTTACTTTAAAATGTATCTTTTAAATTGACAAACATCATATGTGTAATTCAGGGCACAATTCAAACCAGATCAAAATATTTGTTGTCTCTCGCCATTGACTACCATTCAATATTTTTCCGAAATAAGGTCCCATGGTGCTCGACCGGAAGGGGAGGGACTTAGGCTCTCTATGCACTCGGACATAGCCGTGTTTTGACCAATGAGCATTCAGTTGTGTACACACTGCTTTTAGAAGATGTTTGCTCCATTTAACATATTTGTGAACCATTCTTGCCATTAATTCAGTACACCGTACTATTACCGAACAGATTTGTTTACCTGTAGCCTTCTCTTGTTGGGTTTATCTGAACTCTACTATATTGAGGACATTGTGTGTGACTGACTGTCCCCTAATCTCATGTGATTGTGGATCACTGTGGGGGCTCATTGTGTTTGACCTATTGTTCAGTCTCCCTGATGTTGATGGTGGGAACATTTCAAGAAATTCCTGAATAGTGTAGGAGCGTCTCCCCCTTTACCGGCTCCCTGACCCTCTGGAACTGCCATGTTACCTGAAACCCTGGAGGTAGCAGTAGTTTCCATGGGAACCGCTTGGCATGGCATGCTGGGATGGCCACTCTTTGTGATTGGACCTTGGCGATTAGTGTCAAGCTGAGCCTTCTCGTTCCACCTGAAGTCTACAATTCCTTTGTTCATCTAATCAACAGAGATTACTTTGCAAAAACACATTGGGTTTTAAAACTCAGCATGTGTTTTTGCTTATAAACACGTGATACCTCAAATTGCTGTTGGACGTGCGAGTGTTACCGATCATCTCTAGCTAATGGTAAAAGAACACGAACACTGTTGAAAGATACAGTACAACTTATCAAAATGTATTCCTCATGCATAATATCGACCAATCCTTTTTTGAACTCTTCCCTGAACTGAAATGTAGTAGTGGGCTGTATTTCCACTCAAGTACACCCACAAGCCGCGCAAGTTACTCGTGTATTGCAGTTTGGCTGGTGGTTTTGTTGCCCGCATACCGCCTCCCATGGCCGAGACTGGTATTACGACACCTGCTGGGCCGGGGCTAGTAATTTAGCATGCTAATTCAGGTTAATATCTCGCCAGCACTATAACTTCTCATTTTTTTAATGACATCATTAACCTTATTTCTTCTCATTCTTTTGACGCGTGTAGCTCGTTTTTGGGATATTTTAACCTCAATTTTTACATATGGCACCTTTAAGTCAGTCTTTATTTTTGTGAAACAGTCTATCTTGCATTAGAGCAAATTTTAAACTTGTCTAACACTATAGACCGGTCTAAAATAGCTTTGTGAAACCGGCCTCTGGTGTTTTAATTTTAGTGTTTGGTGTTTAGTCTCTTTTGTCAACTTCCAACCACTTCTGTCCTGATTTCTTCGAGGGGAGGGGCAATGTATGGGCTTTTTCACATATTTTGATCTAATGGACAAAATAAGCTCAATTTAATTCACACATGAACGTAGCCAGAGACAACAGAATAGCACACATGGCCATGGCCGAAACTGGTATTACGACACCTGCCGGGCCGGGGCTAGTAATTTAGCATGCTAATTCAGGTTAATATCTCGGCAGCACTATAACTTGTCATTTTTTTAATGACATCATCAACCTTATTTCTTCTCATTCTTTTGACGCGTTTAGCTCGTTTTTGGGATATTTTAACCTCAATTTTTACCTATGGCACCTTTAAGTCAGTCTTTATTTATTTTTTTACTAGCAACAGTACGCTTGTGGCATGAAGCTGATAAGATGAATGGTGTTCTTTGAGAGATTGGATCACAGAGATTGGACGAAGGACTCTTTTGAGTTGGGCCAATAAGCAACCACCCAGAAAACCGTACGTCAAACTTGTATTTGGTTCAATTCAGTTTGGTCTTTTAAAGGGGTGATGAACTGAGAAATCAAATTTTCCATGAGCTTTTGACATCTAAGAGGTCATCATATTATAAGAATATCCTGCAAGTTTCAGAACTGAACCTTGTTAGTCCAATAAAAGCTTTTATTGACACCAGGCTCAGCAAACGACTCGGGGAACTATGACGTCAAAGAGGATAAAACCCCACCCCCGCAGAAGAAGATCAACGCCTACTTCAACACGGCCGGTTTAGCCCCGCCCACCGATTCGCGCATTACACGCATAGATAAATAACATAGATGCCTACCTCGTGATGACAAACCGGATCGAGCTACCGAGCAATACAGAATATTGTGCAGCGCCTGGTTGTGGAAGAAGACAGTCGCTGCATAAGCTTCCTCTGGACTCCAATAGGACTGAATGGATAAACTTTATTTTTAATGACGTTCCAGCAGATGAGGTAAAACATCGTCCGTCTGTTCGCTTCATTTCACTGAGGATTGTTTTGTAAACAAGACTGGATTTTCAGACCGATTAAGAGTAAAGAACGGTGCTGTGCCGTCTATATTGGATCTGACACACACGGACTCTGGGTCGAACATGTATGGGCGAATCCGGTTGCCATTTTACAACATTGGACGTTTTCAAAACAATTTCCCCCAAGTGCACCGACAGGTGAGTTGAAACTCATTATAATATGCAAAACTGTTATCCACTCACAGCAGTGGGCGTTTACTTCCAAGTCTTCAGTGCGATACGCCCCTAAAAACCAAGCGTTTCTGAGCTGGGCTGAAAACTAGGGTACAAAATAGCCCATTACTTGTTCATTTTGATGTTTTTGAATGCAAAAACCAAGCGAACTTCATAAGTTGACCTCGGACAACAATATAATACAATTTAAAAAGCCAGTTCATGACCCCTTAAAAAGAAATGTATTTATGCCAGGGTGGGAAAGCTAATTTGATCACTATTTTTTTTTTTTTTTTGGACAGTATGTCCATTAATTTCCTAGTAAGGTATTAAGCTGGCTTACTTGAGGCCATGCAAGGCACTGTAATCTCTGGAGGTGAGTCTTGAGCACCTCCACTACCAAGACTACAGGAGATGTGGCTAAGGATAGCTCCTCTAAGGGGATTACCAGACGTCTGAGGGAGTGTCCTATGGCACACAAAACAAGCCAGCGCTGAGGGATTAGGCCATCCACACGCCGCAAGCACCAAGGACACAGACACTCTCTGACTTTATACTCTCAACCATGTCGAAGGAAAAACTGGAAGCCCTGGTGAAGCGCATGGAGGTCACGCTCGTGGAGATGGAGCAACTGAAGCTGCACTGTGGCCGGCAGAGCGAGGAGCTGAGCCAGCTGGTGGTGGAGCTACGCCGGGAGAACCAGGAGCTCGCCGAGAAGTACAACCAGCTGGCCCAGGACATGAAGGAGGCCAAAGAAGTCATCGAGCAATTGCAGGACACCAAGTATGCTTTTGACGCCAAGGAGAGGCAAGCCCAGAAGCTCAGCCGACAGCTCTGAAAGACCAACTGGAGACCCGTTTACTAGTTGCCTGTGGCATGTTATTGGGAATATTGGTAATTACAGAGACCTGACTACATAGATGCAGAAATGTGTTTGTAATGATTACACACTATGTGAACCCATGTCAAATATGCAATACTGATGTTGATTTGAATGTACTTGAGTTCACCCTGTAAATGTTTGGTTTCAGGGCAATGCCTTGGTACAGGATTACTTAGTGAAACCTCTGAAATTTAGCTGAATAAAATCCCACTGTAGTTGATTAGCGCCTGAACACATGGTCAGACTACAAAGGATTATCGAACCAAATGTGAACTTGCTGGAGACTGTGCATGTGAGAAACAATCATGGGAACACTCTTTTGGACCTCAAAGGGCCGTGTTAAGTTTTTAGGTTATAGATTGCACCAACATGGGTATCGGTGCCTGTAAAGTTGCAAAGATTATATCCAAAAATATCTCATTCCAGGTAATCGTTTTTTTTTAAAAAAAGGACTAAATCAAGCTTTCCATTGGCGTGGATGTTCGAAATGGCTTTGAATGACTTCATCTTGAATTACTGTGGCACTGTGTTTGAGATTTTTAAAAATGGCAATGTTTGGTTAAAATGTGGATATATAACCGTGTTTAATTTCATCATATCACATTTGGATCATTATTTTTCAAACATCCATACCTTGATATGTCCAAATTCTTTTGAAACCACCAATCTCTTTGTAACATCCCGATGAAGTAATTACACTAAAGTGTAGACACATGCGGAGCATTGTGGGAAAACACTTGCAAACCACCCTGAATGTCATTTAATAAGCAGTTGAAAAAAAATCTTGCTGTGTTATGATGCACTGTATGTTATGATAAAGTGATTCTCTGCATATACTGGTTTATGCAGTGTTGTTAAAAATATATATAAAATTGCATGAAAAGATGTAGCCTATTTAGGCTACATTTCGAATGTTTAACACTGTTTAAAGTTTAGCATGTTCATGTATGATTGTCATTTCAACAAAACTGAAAAAGGTCCTTCGATTAAAAACATTACATTTTAAGAAAAACAGACTATGTATATAAATTGACAGAAATGTTGTTTCCTAGTGGATAAAAAAGGTACTACACCCTATGGAAGGTTGTTTCCGCCACAGAATGAAAAATAAAAAAGGTAATTGTGACTATCTCACAATTCTGACTTTTTTTTTAGAATTGCGAGACGTAAAGTCAGAATTGCGAGACATATAGTCAGAATTGCAAGATAAAAAGTCAGAATTGCGAGACAAAGTTAGAATTGCGAGATAAAAAGTCAGAATTGCTAGTTATAAAGTCAGAATTGCGAGATATAAAGTCGCAATTGCGTGTTATAAAGTCAGAATTGCGAGATAAAAAGTCAGAATTGCGAGATATAAAATAAGAATTGCTAGTTATAAAGTCAGAATTGCGAGATATAAAGTCCCAATTGCGTGTTATAAAGTCAGAAATGCATGATATAAAGTAAGAATTGTGAGATTTAAACTATTCTGAATACTAAATAATGAAAATTAATAATTAGATCACGTTCATCTTTGTTTAAATAAAAGTTAAATATCCGTTATTGGAAGTTATAAAGTAGTTTAAACCATTACTGAAACATTTTGAATCATCTTCTTAAATTGCATAAAATGTCAGCCAAACAGTTGGATTAATCTGTACAGATGAATTGTTCACCACAAGACTAGTTTTGCACTAACAACAAAGTATATAGGGTCAATTTTGACTGCAAAGATGAAAAAAACAGCCCACTTTGAGCAACACTCAAAGGCCATGTCCACACTAATACGTTTTCGTTTGAAAACGTATATTTTTCTCTCCGTTTTGGCCTTCCGTCCACACTGAGACGCTGTTTTAAGACACCAAAAACGTATCGTTTGGAAAACGCTCTCCAAAGTGGATACATTTGAAAACGCCGTTTTCGCGTTGTAGTGTGGACAGTTAAACCGGAGGTATTTCAAAACGATGATGTAAGTTTAGTCATGTGATCCATGTAGTACCAATAGATATTCATGTTTATCGGTATTGTGCCTGTTATGTGTTATTCATTTTTACACTGTTGCTAAAATATGTTACTTTCTATTTTACTTAATATGTGCTATTCTTCATAGCACAGCACTGCAAAGATAACAGTGTAGTCTACTCACATTTGCTGTCCTGCGGCAAAACAGGAGTTGCGTTTTAGACCAAATATGGTGACTGAATGCGACCTGGACGCATCAGTGATGGTGAGATATTTTGCTAAATAAAATGATCCCGTTAGAAGAATTGCGCGATAACTTTATTATTTATTTCCCCCTCTGTAACGTCTCAGTGAGCTTTTGTGAAGTTTCACGCATGCGCAGTAAAGTGAATTTAGAAGTTTCTCATCCACACTGAAACGTCAGAAAATGCCTGAAAACACTAGTGTGGATGGAGAGCGTTTTTAAACGAAAACCCCGTTTTCAAATGTATCCGGATTAATGTGGCCGTAGCCAAAAGCTGCAGTGTTTTTTTAATGAATAGCATGAGTGAATAATTCAATGACTCACTCATAGAGAAAGTAATTTGTCGCCACCTACTGAAATAATGAAGTGACTACAGAAAGAACAACCAGTTGCTCAGGTTGTACTCGCGCTAGGCGATCTGAATCATGTCCAAGCATGTTTGAACGCCAAACTCTGGTTCGTTTGACTAGTGTGATCGCTCCATAGTCCGTACCGTGCCCGGGCGCAGTCTCTGGCCCGCCTAGAAGAGGTGGACCAGAGCCCAGGTTCAGTTTGGCCTGGGCGTGGTACGCATGTAGTGTGATAGGATAGCTACTACGTCATCATTACCACTGCAAACATCTTCTATTACTACTTGGATACTACACTGTCATTAATTCGACTCTTTTTGACAGTTAAGTGTAAATTTGGGAGACAATACCTTTATATCTCGTGCATAATATTTATTTAACTTTGCTGCAGTTTATATTTGCAAACAGCTAGGCCTATATACCCACTGCATGAACGGGATATTCGAAAAAAAAAAAACCATAAAAGGCCGCTTTAAATATGGCAAAATAAATGTGCATTAAAAAAATCTGACTATTAAATTAATAGAAAAATGTTCATCATGACATGACATGTAGCCGATTATAAGTCAGCAAAACATGAATGCCCTCAAAATATTTTTGAAATGCTGTTGCAATCTGTCAAAGTGACGATTATTCAAATTATTACTGATGTGTGCGTTCATGTTCAGGAACTCGTGTGCGATATAAAGGAAAACAGTGAAAGTTCAATTGATTTGGTAGTAAAACGTGAAGTATTGCATATTGTTTTGTAAAATGTTTGCAGCAACTTTTTTTTTTTATTAAATTTGAAGCAGCACACTGAGCTGAGTTTGGTGATTGCAGCAGCTCTACAGTCAACTTTAGTTCTATAATTACAATAGCCTACGTTTAAATAGAATAACAGTATTCTTCTCAAGCCAACACTTGTACAATAGGCCTATATGGCCGTTATCATGGTATCCTCTCTCTCTCTCTCTCTCTCTCTCTCTCTCTCTCTCTCTCTCTCTCTCTCTCTCTCTCTCTCTCTCTCTCTCTCTCTCTCTCTCTCTCTCTCTCTCTCTCTCTATACAGTGTGTGTGTGACTCACTCACTGTGGACATTTAACACCAGTCTTCTCACGCGCTTCAGAGGGGGAGAGAGAGAGAGTGTGTGTGTGCGCGCGTGAGAGAGAGAGAGAGCAGATTCATCTACGTGAGATGCGAAGATAAACTCTGTTTTCTTTCGACAGCTGGAAAAAGTAAGTTATGACTTACTATTCATTTCTTTCAATATGTTTTCTGTGTGAGACAAAGTTGTTGACGTTCTCGCTGAAACTGGCAGTTCATCAAGTGATAGTTTCATCGATCTCTAATGGAGATAATGTGTGTTTTCTGTGGCTGGATTAGTGATTAAAACGAGTCTTATCAGTTTTCTTTATCTGAATGGATTCGGTCATTTGGAGGTCATTTTTACAGAAAAACAACAAAGACGTACAAACACTGAAATGAAAGTGAATAGTATATGAGCAACGGATACAACGAAGATAAATCAAAATATTAATGTTTTTGTTATGTCGCATTATTTAACCACTCTTTGCAGAAATTGCAGTTACCTTATTGTATTTTATTTAAATTATTTAATTAACAGCATGCTGTTTAGTTTTAGATGCAGGCTAGTTATATCATCCTGTCATTTTTTTTGTTTTAGTTTTGTTGTGGTATATTTTGGCTGTAGTGATGCAGTTTTGACAGTATATGATAACTGTATGGTGTGTTAATGGATCATACAAGTAAAGTTTACATTTGTGGGCTCAAAACCTTATGGCTTCTCCAGTTCAGAAACTCCCATGTTGAAGCGGTCTTGGCAGGTGGCAGCATGCTCTGGCAGCTTTCTCATATTAAACTACATTTGTAGCTTGTTTCAGGCTGTTAGAACATGCTTTATGAGAGGCTTTCTTGATTACTCAGAAGTTGATCTTATATTGGCATCACTGAGTTGGTGGATATTAAAAAGCTTTAACTGTTTCACCAAACAAAAAGTGCCACACATTCAGCACCGATCCTGCAAACAAACCTGAGGTAACTGCAACATCACACAAACTCAGAACTGATATTGGGTTTGACTTTAACACAGGATGATTGATTGACAATTTGATTGATTGATTGATTGGTAGATGAATTTAGGTACTGAATTCAATCTATTTTTGAGATACGTAGAGTATATTTTTTCTAAACTGATTGGACATATTTTTGTTAAATAAACCAAAGTTGAGCTGAACTATGATTTGCCATCTGAGACAGATTGTGTGTCTTTGCTCTTTTATGTTCACTGATTAATTGCAATCACAATAAATCCTAGCCTCTGGTAGTCTGGCAGTGTCAGTCATGCAAGCGCTTCTATGCTCTTCAAGGTTATTGGTGCCTAAGGCTTGGTTACATCTGATACGCAATGTGCTCAATACCGTTAAAATAATCAAAACGCCCATCAAAACTGCATTCTGCTTGCTGCTTCAGTTCTAATCAGTGTTTGAATACAAATTTTAATGTAGGCTAATTCTAAAAACTGGAATACACTACTGTATGTACGTGACTTTACTCTCGTAAAAATAAAGGGGATTTCACAGCAGTACCATATTTCCAAAAACACCAATAGAGGTAATGCATTGACGTCACTTTCCCACTGAAACAAACCGCCTCAGTCTGAGTGGCAAAAGATCTGCTGCGTGACTGGATTTAATTGGAGAAACTGTGAAAATGCGACTAAAACAAACAATTTTATCAATTTAAACTAAATGTTGGACTCAATATAGTGTTCCTTACAACTCACTAAAGATCCAGTGATCCATGGATATTGACATGCAGCCGGGAATCGTGTTGCCTGACATTTATGTTTGCCTGATTTTGACACTGGGGAAATAAAATAGACCATATAGACCTAAACATAAAGCAAATTTGCCTGTGAATGCTTTATATAAATACAATATAGGCAGGTCTAAATTCGGGTGATCATTTATATCAGTGTTTTAATAGCCTATATATATATATCATCATATCGTCCAGCCATAAAACGTTACAGTTTTTTTTTTGGTCAGTGTTTATTAAAAAACATCCTTGATGTTGTCCTTGATGTTACTATTGCGAAGCTTCTACAAAATGAAAATAATAGTAAAAACGTTAAAAAAACACACAGTCGAAACATTGATGCATTGTATGTTTGGTCCGTGACATTTCTTGTAGTAATATTCCATGAGGAGGTTGAGCGGACTTCGTAACGATTGATATCAACGCTATCTAACGGACATCTCGCTTGTATCTAGATTCGGGGCTTGCCAACAAATAACCTGTATGCAATGAAATTGAAAACATATGAATGCATATATTCAAATCAGCAAATGAAATTCCTTCCGCAGTGTTTCTTTATGACCTTTGGCTCCTGCAAATGCAAATCCTTGTGTAATCGCCTTAAATGGGAGTACAACTGTAAAGGGTTAATCAGCAGATGTGAACTCTGTATATCCCTATAGCTAGGCCTCAACTCTGAGATCTCACAAGTTGAAATGTTAATTTATTTGCCTCAGTCCCCAGTACAGTTATTATTATATAACAATACAAAATATATGGGTATGGTTTTACAGCTAAATTCGGCATATCGACACAAAATGAAAACTGCAGATCCAGCTTTCGCTGACTGGAGTCCAGTTGATCCATTTGCTCCTCTTTCTATAGCAGTCTGTAAAAATTAGGGCTGGGTATTAAATATCAATTTCTCGATATTAATCGATTCTCATTTTTACAAACCGATATCGATTCTTAAATCTCAAGAATCGATTAGTCATCCTGTTTCATTTGTATGAATGAGACATTGTATCGCGGCTGTGCGCATCCAACAAATCGCAATAATCTTTGTCCTTTGTTACTATTGATATGAAACAAAGTCTCAATTTTCAAATTACGTCCATTACGTCCGCTGATCTCTCTTCCGGGTTAAAAATACCAGCTACACCGCGAAATAAACATGAATGAGCATCTGAAAGTGTGTTAAAGATAGAGTACAACTTATCCAAATCCCTATCATGTCACATTGATTCGCTCAATCTGCGTTTCAACCGTGGAAGGACGTCAATTAAACAGCTTGTAATCAATGTCATGTATCGTCATATTTACCTCAGAAAACTCCACATAAACTCGTTAGTCCACACTCGTTAGTGTTCTTCAATATTTAATGCATATTTGAATAAATCTGGCAAGTTTTTATGACAGCCACCATTTAAATGTTTATATTTCATATAATCTTCTTATTATAAAAATAAATAAAAGTGTAATTTAAGTGTTTGTATACAAAACAGTTCATTATTACCTTCATATTAGGCTAATGAAGCCTAGTAGGCTACTAGACTATATTTATAGACCATAGTTTACAGCATTTAAGAGATTTGATTCCCTTGAGAAAAATTGCCATTTATTGTAACTGATATCCAAAATAATCGATATTGAATCGAATCTTAATCAAAATCGAATCGAATTGCAAGCTTGTGAATCGAAATCGAATCGAATTGTGAAATTTGTCTCAATACACAGCCTTAGTAAAAATATTCCTCCGATTTTTTTGTCAAATCTAGTTGTTCAGTCAATCGGAAAGCTCTTTCCCACTTTATATGTGTTGTGTTTGTTTTTCGCGGCATTCACGCTGAACACATATACAGGCGCTCAGTCTTTTTGCCACTGACTATGAGGAACTGCAGCAACTCCGGCCGACGGTGACGTCACGCGCATACCCTCTATACCAAAATTCATTCCAGTGGCTTACGTTGATGTATTATATATGTGTGTATTGGAATGATCAAGTAAGAAAAGATAGCATTAGAACAGCCTTCTGTCTGTGCCCTCTTGACCTCTTTGCTTGCTTTCATCACTTTCTCCTTTATTCTCATTGAGTGATGTCTCTCCCCAGCAGCCCAGACGCGGGTTCAACAGGCCAGACTGCAAAAAAAGGCCAACATTGGTCAACGGCCGACCACCACAGCCAATAGAGGAACCATTTGGTTCCCCAAAAGAACCTTTCTGTGAGCAGTTCTTAAAGTCGCCAAGTTTTTTGTCTTCTTCAGTCCCTCCATAAATACGTGATTATGCGATCGCATGATTTAGTGCATAATCAGTCAAAGTCGGCATATTTATGCAGGCGCATTTTATCAATTACGCCCCATAAATTGACCTATGGCTAAGCCACGCCCCCTCCACTCACTCGGACACACAGTCAACATTCGTGGACAGGCGCTATGGCAGCGGTCGCAGTAGGAGACATTTCACAGGAGACAATTGGTGATTTTTGGAGACAGAAAGATTATATATCATCTCTCAGTCACCTAAAGGGCCTTAAAGGATTAGTTCACTTTTGAAAAAACTTTTGCTGATAATTTACTCACCCCCATGTCATCCAAGATGTCCACGTCTTTCTTTCCTCAGTCGAAAAGAAATTTAGGTTTTTGATGAAAACATTCCAGGATTTTTCTCCATATAATGGACTTCAATGGGAACCGGATGGTTCAAGGTCCAAAAGATAGTGTTAATAACAGTTTCAGATGCAGCTTCAATTGTCTTTAAACGATATCAGACGATGAATAAGGGTCTTATCATGCGAAACGATCGGTTATTTCAAAACTTATTCCAAAAATGTAACTTTTCTAAGGACAAATGCTAGCCTTTCTCCATTCTGTGAGGCGAGTTTGCAACGTCACGTATTACGTAATTACGTTCAAAAGGTCACGGGCGACGTAGCCGAAAGTACAGAGTCAGTGTTTACAAGTTGAACGCATAGGTTGAACGTGAAAACTAACTCAAACACCGTTTACAAAAAAAGGAATTAAAAGGTAAAACAACGATGTCGGACGATTTCGATTCTGTACTTCCGGCTACGTCGCCCGTGACTTTTTGAACGTAATTACGTATTACGCGACGTTACAAACGCGCCTCACAGAATGGAGCAAGGCTAGCATTTGTCCTTAGAAAAGTTACATTTTTGGAATAAGTTTTGAAATAACCGATCGTTTCGCATGATAAGACCCTTATTCATCGTCTGATGTCGTTTAAAGACATTTGAAGCTGCATCTGAAACTGTTATTAACTGTCTTTTGGACCTTGAACCATCCGGTTCCCATTGAAGTCCATTATATGGAGAAAATCCTGGAATGTTTTCATCAAAAACCTAAATTTCTTTTCGACTGAGGAAAGAAAGACATGAACATCTTGGATGACATGGGGGTGAGTAAATTATCAGCAAAAGTTTTTTCAAAGGTGAACTAATCCTTTAACTATGCATTGGAGGGTTACATTAATAATTGTATTGTTGAGAAGGTCGATGAAAAGCTTCAGCTCCAGGCAGAGATGTACAGTGATGCACACTGTGATTGGCTCATCGCGTTTGGGGGCGTGGCTTAGCCATAGGTCGATTGCCGATTTCCATCCAAAATATGCGGGGCTTGCATGATTTCTTAATCCTAGCGCTTTCGTTCCAAAAAAAGTCATTTATTTTAGCAGAAAGTTGAAAAATGTTGCGTTTTGCTTCACACAAGAGCAGCCGTTTCCTCGCCGTTGCCATGGGAACGTTATGAAGTGACATAACCTGTTGCCATGGGAACGTTACGAAGTGATGTAACCTGTTGCCATGGGAACGTAATGAAGTGACGTAAATACGACGTGAACATCATCGAAAAGCTGTAAAACAGGAGCACACTATTTTTTTTTATTTCATTTATTCATTTTTTACAGAAATTGTAGCATATTGCTTTTTGTAAAGCTACAGAACTTGTTTGACTCATCAATATTTTGTAAGTTTGATGTGTTTATTAATGTCTGAAATAAAACAAGATGAGATCTTAAATATTCCGGCACTTTCTGTGATGTAGTTATGCTTGCTTATCATAGGGAGTAAAAAGAAATGACTCTTTATATTAAGGTAGTACCCTAGTGAGAACAGGGGTAATCAAACCACAGTTTTTGCTAGTTCCCGCAATTTCATTGCATAAAATTGCATAAATATCCCGCATAATCCATCGCATTTTTAAAGAAAATGGCCCGAATAGGCTGATCAAGGATTTTTGCCTACAACAATCACAAAAAACTCTCCATTTTTCTAGAAGGATTGAAATATGTTAGCCTTAAGTTTATATAAACCAGTGTGCTCCAAAATAATGACAAAACTCACATTTAGAAGATTTAAAACTTACAGTCCCCGACTTCCGCCGACATAAATCAACGCTTATGATGACATCACTCTGCACTTCAGCTTCTCATCAGATTTTCTGTCCAATCAAATGCTGTCTAGTATCTGAAGCTCCACCCCCTACATTATAAATAGATGCTGAAGCTGAAATCGGTCACTTGTTCACACATTTACTATTATTTTCTACATGGTGAATGGCACCTAGTGCACTACATAGGGAGTAGGGAACGATTTAGACAGTTTAAATATGCTTTCAATTGGGGAGAATAAAGTCTGGTTTCATGTTAGTGTCACGTGAACACACCAGCACCGAGCGGATCACACGATCGAGTCGCCTACACGTCTTCGGCATGATTATGTTCCCTGTTTTCCTTTAGTAACAGCTTCATATTGAATGTAACAGGGGTGTCTATTACACTGTGGCTGTCATAGGGGTGTAACGATCATCATGTCACGATTCAATATCATGATATTTTTGCGATACTCCAAGACATGTGGTAAAAGGTTAACAAACAATGAACTGTTGATTAAAATGCTAAATTTGGTATTTCATTGTGTGTGGAAATGAATAGGCATGGACTCAGGACAACGGTGACACCAGAATAACAATATTCATGATTCTGAAGCTGAAAACAGAATTATATGCTTGTAGAGACTAGATCAAATGTAGGGCACTTTTTACTGGTTTTCATTTCATTTTCTATTATCAGGCACACAAATATCTCCCATTGCATTATTATACATTATATTTAACATTATATCAGTTTAATGTAGTGCTGACACTAAAACTATGTAAACTTTTTTTCTCACACAATTTTTTTTTTTTTTTTTTGTGAATAATACACAATACATATTGTTGCATTTTGTGTTGCGATATATTGTGACACGACATGAAGCTGTCAAACGTCGAGCTGTGATGATATCAGCAATATTCTATTGGCTATTTTTAAAAAGGGGAGGGGCTTTTGGAAATGTCTCGCCCTGTCTTCCTGTTTCAGTGGAAATCACATCACCATCAAGGCATTTGAGTGGGCCTTAAAGGGTTAGTTCACCCAAAAATGAAAATTCTGTCAGTATTTACTCTCCCTCATGTTGTTCCAACCCCGTAAGACCTTCGTTCATCTTCCGAACACAAATTAAGATATTTTTGATGACATCTGAGAGCTGGATCACTCCTGCATAGTAGTCCATAGGCTTCTTGAGGGATAGAAACTTGCTGGCCTCGAAAAGTTATTAAAGACATCGTTAAAATGGGCTCAATCTTAACTTTATCAAACGACGAGAACACTTTTTATGCGCAAAAAAACAACAAAAATAACGACTTTATTTCAACTATTCACTTCCTTCTCTATGGGCCTGTAGTCAGTTAAAGTAGTGTGATTGCCTACGTGTGATCACACGTAGGCTCACTATTGGCCGACGCTGGTCATGTGTGTGTGATGCGTGTGACGTACAAACAGAAGCTTACGCTGTTACACTAATAACCTGACTCGAGGCAGAGAGAGAAGTAAATGAATAGTTGAAATAAAGTCGTTATTTTTGTTGTTTTTTGCACACAAAACGTATTCTCGTCGTTTGATAAACTTAAGATTGAGCCACTATTTTAACAATGTCTATGTACTAGTTTGGAGGAGAGATCCAGCTCTCAGATTTCATCAAAAAAATCTTCATTTGTGTTGCGAAGATGAACGAAGGTCTTACGGGGTTGGAACAACATGAGGGTGAGTAAATACTGACAAAATTTTCATTTTTGGGTGAACTAACCCTTTAAACGAACCATTTTTTCTTAGTGTGAAGAACATCTGTGTAATCTGAAGAACCTTTCTCCCAATGGAAGATTCCATGGAACTTAACAGTTCTGAATGGAACCATTAATGGCAATAAAGAAGTTTTATTTTTAAGAGTACAGTCTGTTAAAGTCAACTCCAGTAGCCAAATTTCACAGCCAGTCTACAGACTTTGGGAGTTGTCCAATTACAAAGGAAATGTGTGTATAACAAGCAGATTTGAATCAATCAATCAAGTTGGAGGATATGAAACATGTTTGATATTTTGAGCCAAATTTACAGCACGTGTTTTTATTTGTTTCTGTGAGAGTTGTGTTAGGAATGACTTGAAAGTTTGGCAGTGTGTCGTTTAGTGTTTGATGCCCAGGTTTTTTCTAGGGTACCTAATAAACTAACTCTGCATGGTGATGAGTGCACATGGTAAATCTCAAATAATGCTTTAAAGGGGCTTTTGGCAGGCGTTCATAATGTGTGTGTGTGTTTTTTTTTTTTAATGTTTTCAGACGAGTGGATGCGTCTTGTCTGTTTGAGCATGCACAGCTTCAGGGGCTTTTTAAAAATCAACAAAAAACTAACACAAACAATTGTCTGTTGCAGGACGTTGGGTGTGTGTGCACTGAATTGGCAGAAAACAGGCATGACACTGTACTGTGTGCTGTCCCCTTCAGAGGTCAGGATGCTGGCGGTTGTGGTCTGTGTGCAGCTGTTACTGGTCTCGGTGTTAACGGTGAGTGAAACACTGCAGTACACTCTACTGTACACAGATGTTCGAATGAATCTTTTTTCGAGTCATTTGGTTCATTCAACGAACGAAATGACTCGAAAAAAGATTCATTCGAACAGGAGAATCACAAATGTGCATCACAGAACAGAGCAAGGCGAGCATTTGTGCTTCTAAAACGTAAAGTTTTTTATTCATTTTTTAAATGAGCGATCGATTTCTTGACAATTGACAATTTCTGACATTCTCCAGTTTTATTGTTGCCGGAGTATCGAAGCCCTTTTCTTCCGGAAAAGAGGCTCATTTACATGTAAATGTACACACACTTTTGCGGTGCTCTTTATTCGAACCTTTCATACTATGATAGTTTTGCTCAATTAAAGATCATCAATATGTAGCCTATTTATTTGTTTTATCATGTCTGTTATCAAAAATCTGCACCATGCATTTCAAAAGAAATGTTTTATAGTGCATACACTAATTTTGAGGAACGTTGAAACTCTTGTGTAACACAAACAGTCATTTTTAATTTAATTTTTGAAATCACAATTTTACCAGATGTAGCAGTGTCTACACTGGCATTTTATTTTTAGATTTAACGTATATTTACACACACACACACACACTAACCTGACCCCTACCCATCACAGAAAACTTTATGCACTTTTTAATTTTTTAATAAAACACTGCTTTGTATGTTTTCAAAGCCATTTTAAATATGAAGACTGAAGAAATGTCCTCATAAATAATGTTCACATTGTAATACCAGTGTCATTATACAAATTAGACATTTCTGTCCTCATAAGTCACACCAGATTGTTGTTATATCAGATTTACATATGAGGACGTCCCTAAAGGGAAGTTTTCAGAGGTTTTGTCAAGTTTTGGTCACCTCTGGTTACAAAATTTTCCCCAAAAGTAGGTACACACACACACACACACACACTTTTTCATTTATAATGAAGTACACTGTAAAAAATAATCCTGTAAAAAAAAACGGTAAACTACTGGCAGCTGTGGTTGCCAGCATCATACTGTAAAAATGCGGTGTGTTCCTGTTTTTGAAATGATCAGCTAATTCACTGAAAAAAATCATACTTGTATTCACATGTTTATGAGTATATTCTTCTATTACTATAAAACAGCATTATGGTAATCTTAACCTATCAGTGTAAAAAATAATCCTGTAAAAAAAATGGTAAACTACAGGCAGCTGTGGTTTCCAGCATCATACCGTAACTATATGTGTTACTGTTTTTGAAATGATCAGCTAAATAGTGTATTGTCAGCTATACACTATAAAACTTAAATTTAACAGCTATATGCTCTAACACAAAAACAGTAACACACCATATAGTTACGGTATGATGCTGGAAACCACAGCTGCCTGTAGTTTACCGTTTTTTTTACAGGATTATTTTTTACACTGATATGTAATTAATGTGGTATAGATACTCAAAACTGATCAAGAAAAAAAAATTGAATCAGATATGCATAAATATCAGCAATATGAGCAGATTCTCAAGATTGCGTTGTCTGTATCAGTCATTAGAAATCCCAAATATCAACATTCATCATACACTCTATTATACTCACGTGTATCTCTTGCTACTTTTATTCCATTGCAGCTTTACCTTCTTATGTTATTTGATAGAAACATGTGATTCCCCACTGTTAACAGCAACCCACTGGAGATGTCTGGGGTGAGTGGGGTCCATACGGTGAATGCAGTCGCAGCTGTGGCGGGGGCGTGACCGCGAGGACCAGGACATGTGTAACCCAGCGGTGAGTCTCCGCTTCGTTCCTTACTGTACTTCTAATAACACTCGATTTGTGTCACCCAATGGTTATTGAATAGTTTCAAGTCCCTCTGTAGTGAAAGTCCAGCTTTTAATGTGGGGTTTTTAATATGCTTTAAGTTCATAAGTGGACAGCATTGCTAAGTATTTTCTCCTTAAACTGCAGTGAACCAAAGACAGTCTCAAACACACGGTGTGAAATCGCTGGTGTTTCTGACGTCACAAACAAGCTTGTAACCAATCACATCAACGTGCCGATGGGCTTTAGCATATCATTACAGAACTAGCAGGGAAGTCTCAAGAGATGCCAAGATATCCTGGTATATTTTTCTGTTGGTAGATTTAGCAATATAGCGGGTGTATGATGTATATTACGATGTTATGATGAACTATATGCCTTTCTCCACTGATGAGCTTTTCTGATGAGGCCACCCTTAAAAATATTCTTGTTTGCCGTAACCCGACCGACTCTGTCAATTTAGGGCCGACCCAATTTTTTTTTTTTTTTTTCCTTTTAGTCCGACCGACTTGCCGGTTGTAACTTGCGTTCAGACCGACCGATTTTTTTTTTACTCTTCAAACGACTAATTCAAATTCAATAAAATAATATTAATTGTATTTTAGTTAGTATTGTGAAAGTTGCTTGTGTCTACATAGCCTACACACGTAGGCTACGTTCTTTCTTAAATAAAAACCCGTGGCCTCATATTCATCAGATTATGTTTACACCATTGGTTTAACGTTACGCGTGTCACTATATGGCTTGTACGTTCGCTCGTTTCAGTGTTCCCGCTTGGTATCCGGTATTAAAAGGGCAACGGGGCTGAATATCAACCATTTCTATATATAATAAAAATATTAAACAATTTGTCTGTGATGCAATTTTGCTATTCGCAGTCCAGAAGAGAGAGCGATCTCTCACCCGGAGCCACAGCGCGCACAGCACGACAGCCCTGCTTAATGAGTGACAATGAGGACAAAACGTGGTTACACTTTAGATCTGGGATATTATTCTAATTGTATTTTAGATTTCCGCTTTCAAAGATTATAAAAAGAAGATATTTGAGATGAAACCATTACGCATTCTGTCTAGCGCAACTTCCTTCCCTTCACAGCGTTGCGCTGTCATTTCTTCCTAAAACCCAAACGTACCGTCAGAATCAGCACGATCGGTGATTGTTGGAAAATGCAGTCTGTACTGTTGCTAAACTGCGGACGCGTTAAATCATTAAAAGAGCTATTAAAAGCACAAAAGTCTGCGCAAGAGACGTTGTTCACGACGCGCGCTCCAAAATGCACTAAAACGAGACAAGAAAAGTAGGCTATCGCCTCATTTTGGGCTTCATGTGCGCATCTAAACCATCAAATATACATAAAATATAAAAATGACCTGCTCTGAGATTCATTTAAACACAGTTTATGTCTTAATTGGACGTAAGTTGGGAGAAAATGATGGTGCAGCATCAGTCATCTATTACAGTAGAGTTCTGCATTCGTTCTTAAAGGGGCAGTAGTCTAATAAACGTGACGATTGAGCCAATGCGAATCAAACAACAAAAGGCAGATAAAATTCACTCACAGCTCTTGAATGAATAACTTAAACTTTAATAAGCATTAATCTAACCATGATAAACTATGCAGTGTCATTTTACATTTGATTACTAGCTAAATTAAATTTCTTTTCAGAGAGAGCGACAGATTTAACTGAAAAGTAGCTAATTTTAGACCTTCCTGAAATTAAAGCACTGTGTATATAGGCTAATTTGTATCTTTGTTTAATTGTATTCTTTGTTTGACCATGTGTTTGTACTTGTTTTTGCTTATCTCATGTATATATGCATAACAAATAGATATTTTATACATTTTGTGACTAGCCTAAAATGTAACTGGTCGTATTTTGCATTAACACCTAGCGGTGGATGCACAGTTTGAAGACCCAGTCAGTGACGTCACAATATGCATTTTTTTTTTAAATTCACGATCACCATCTCCAAAATTGTACCTTTTTTTTTTTACACTGAATCTTGGAAAAAAAAAAATATAGACCTACCTACCGACCCTTTTTTTAAAAAAAATTGCTGTTACTGCAAACCAAAATATTTTTAAGGATGGCCTGATTGTTAGAAGACAGACTGAGATGTGAACGGCAACACACTATTAGCTGTTTGATAATGTAGTCAAAACAAAGGCTAATCATCAATTATCGTTACGTGTCCGACGTTGTAAAGAGCGACACCATTGTGCAGTGTTTATTCAGCAGAGATGTATGAAGTACTAGAAACCCGGACTTGAGTAAAAGTACAAGTGCTCTATCAAAAACGTGACTTGAGTAGAAGTTAAAGTGCTCTTTAAGCACCACACTTAAGTATTCAACATTTTTTGTACTTAAGTATTGCAAGTAGTTTATTTAAAAAATTCACTACTTAAGTACTAAAAGTAGAAATACGAGTATTGTGTCATGCAGTTATTAAAGAAAGCAGTCTAGCAGAACTAGCAATCAAATAAGGCGTTTTGGCGGGATACAAATTTGCTCTTTGCAGGACAACCCCTGCATTAGTTGTCAATGTGTGTCTCAATCAATACCGTTACCCTATACAACTGGTGTGTGATTTAGGCAGCATGAAAGCCAAATTGCAACGAATGATTCGTAACATTTTTATAATTGTAACGAGTAACTAGCACAACATTAAAAAAATATCGAAGTAAAAGTATTAAAGTCATCGAAAATATCTACTGAAGTAAAAGTAGAAGTATGAGAAAGAAACCAATACTCTAGTAGAGTACAGATACAGCATTTTAGTACTTAAGTAGCTCTACTTCGTTACTATACATCTCTGTTATTCAGTAAGTTGACCGAGTCTAGTGTGAGTGCGTGGAGGCGGGGCTCATTTGCATATTCATAGAACCGCGTATACTAAACACGGAAAGGGTGTAGAGTTACATTCAAGCTATTTTAAGTCATGAAGATTTTTTTTTTTTAAATGTTATTTTGGTGATCAACGAGTTTTAAGGGATAAAATGATTGACTACAGGGGGACTTTAACAAGTTCAAGAATAGAAGAGATAGATAAGGGGTTCATAAATAGGGCTTCAAATGTACAAGAGAGAGGGAAATTAATATTCTGTAGCTGAAATAGCTGAATGGAGACAATCCAGTTGAAAACTGTACATTAGGACCGTCACTTTACGTTCGAAAATCAATTGTCCAATCGATCGGACCAACCAACACAAGTTTCGAAAACGAAAATAGGGAATCGGTTTTAACGGCCTTTATTTTCACCAAAAATGTGTGTTAGGTGGACAGATCAATACAGCACACAGAACATGTCGGATGCTGGAAAATAACAATGTCTTTTCTGTTCACCAAATGCTTTTAATATTCGCTGTTACTGCAATGCGAGTGAACAAGCGCGCCGTTATTTGTTGCGTAGTGACGTGTGTGTGTTCAAGTAAGCCAGAAATGCGCAGATTCTGTAATAATTCTGTCCTCTTTACGCTCGTCCTAACGCCTGTTAGGTGTCCGTGGATTTGTCTGTATTTGGTGTTGAAAATGGAAACGTCTTTAGATGGAAAATCGATTTTACAATCGATTCAATGAACACTTGTGACTCAACAACCGAACAGGATTTTTTCACAAAAGTGACAGCCTTAATACCTAGTCAAGGCAGCTGTGTCAGTATTCACTGTGAGGAAGAGCTTACAATCGAACGTACAAATCATCATCACCTTTACATACGTTTTCTGCTTTTTAGAGAAGCCTCATGGGAACCATGCCTTTCCTCTTGGTGTTTAGTTAAATAACCCCTATTCTCTTTTTCCAAGATATTACTTAGTTTACACTCTTAAGTCTTTCCCCGCCATTTACGAAACAACGCTTTCCTGCCATTGGTGAGTTATTCTGGCGATCCATGTGTGTGTTCAGTGTTATAAGGTAGGGGGCGCTGTTGTGGATCTTCTAAAACAGTACAGCATCTCTGCATCCAAAAACAAGCAAAGAATAAAAACTGTTTAGACACAAGCTAATGTGATCAGCAAACATTCAACAGCATATAAATCAAAATAGCGTAGCTTTATAGACCATTTCACAAGATGTAAACAACACTGGTCCAGAAGCACTTCCTGTTTCAGTTTGTACCTGTTTTCTTTATTTTACATGTAAAGAAATCATCTTAAAGATGTTTGTTTAACTTTTTGATTCAGTTTTAAATGTTCTGTTGGTTGTATTTTATCCCAGCTTTTATGTAGTGGTAAAAAACTGAAACAGGAAGTGCTTCTGGACCAGTGTTGTTTACATCTTGTGAAATGGTCTATTGAGGAAAATGTTGAACCCGCAAAGAGGTTTACGACTGAGCAAGCTTTGGGGTGTTGCTGGACTCGATCGCTGATAATTCATGTTTTGAATGTTTCTTTTGTTGTTGTTGTTTTTTTTGCTCATTCAAGTATTGATACAAAAGAATGAAGCTAGAATAAAATGTGTGTTATTTTGTTATGATGTTAAAGGGATAGTTCACTTCGAAATTAATTTTTGGTATGTTTTATCTTACCTCAAGGGCATCCAAGATGTAGGTGTCTTTGTTTCCGCAGTTCCGCAATTTTGATATTTTTAGGTCAAACCGTTCTTGTCTGTCAGTCATATAATGGAGGTCTATGGTCACCACCTCAAAGAGCATGCACAGAGAAGTCCAAATTAAACATGATTTAATGACTCGTAAATTGTAAGTACACATTGATGGCCTAAGACACGAAACGAGCGGTTTGTGTGAGAAAACGAACGATAATTAATATAGTTTTTACCTCTTGTAACCACAGCCACGTCCAAGTGATCCAAGGGTGCGGGCGTTTTGTGGCTGTGGTTACAAGAGGTAAAAACAATATAGTCGTAATAACGAGTCATTAAATCATGTTTAATTTGGACTCCTCTTAAGCCCCGTTCACACGCTAGGCTCTGTACTGTGATGTCGCTTGTGGGCGTTCATAGTGCTGTCG